TCCGATTCCGTCGGATTCTACAAGCAAAAAGGACATGAGTCAGGATAAGGAAAAATATGTAATTTTCTGAATAAAATTGATTTTTTATACTTATCCTGACTCATGAGGTAAGCCCTCCCATTTCCCTGAAAATTCAAGTGTCAGGCTCGTTAAACAGGAGAGAGTGAAGCATGTGGGATGTGGTGGCGCCACCTTTCCCGCCAAAAGGGGCAAAGAGAGGCAACTCTTGGTGAGTATTGATTAGTGATTTTAAATTGAAGGGAGCTTCAATTAGGGAGATACAAGTGTTCCACTATGTTCGCAAGAAGAAGAAGACAAGCAAAAAGAGCATGAGTCAGGATAGGTATAAAATATCAATTTTATTCAGAAAATTACATATTTCATTTGTTGTAATATATAGTTACCTATTTCCTTGCACCTTTCTTTACTTTATTTATCCACTGGTTTAACTAGTTTAACTGTTGATTATCCAGATTTAAATTAAATATCTAAATATTTAAATATTTCCTCTGATATTTGTTTGATGTATCCACTATTTTGCATAGTTCAGCTAATTTACCAGGTACTCACTGTTTTAACGGATTTCTCCATGATTTATGGGTTCTGTTGCCCTGTGTACCTATTTTCCACAATGTTTTACCTGAATTATCCACTGTTTTACCTGTCTTATACATGTCTTACCTGATATACCTAGATTTTTCCAATGTTTTGTCCAAATCTTTACTTAGCATACCTGATTTGCACTCTTTGTACAGCCTCGTCTGCAAGGCTAATTTGAAATGTTATTATGTACAAAGCTACTCATTGTAATTGTAGTGAAGACTTCATAATTTGAAAGTACTTTCCGGAATTGTGATGAGAAAATATAAAAGTCACACACCTGTGCTTTTCATTGCAACTTTGTTCAAATAAATTAAGATTTTGATGTCAGTTGGTTGATAAACAGACTAAATACAGTCATGTAAAGAATGTGTAACTGACTTTCTACCCTCAACAGAGGATGTTTGCTCAGGTGATAAGGATGTGATGAACAGTATGATCAGTATCAGCACCTGGAAATGTTAAAATGTTTCTTAATGAAGAGGGATAATGTTTTTCACAGAAACATGTCGTTAAAAAGAACATTACACTGGATCTGTGTGTAAGGAGTCTCAATCTCCATTTGGAATAGACCGCGTCCGTGGTGTAGTGGTTAGAACGTCTGCCCGGAGAGCGGAAGGTCGCGGGTTCGATCCCCGACCGCGTCATACCAAAAAGACGTTAAAATATGGTACTTGTTGGTCCCTGCCTGGTGCTCGGCATTAATGGGTACAACAAGGACTGGTCGGTTCAGAGTCAGTATAATGTGTCTGAGTGGGGTATTCATGCTTCACTGCGGTTAGGTATCTCAGTGGGCTAGCACTATAAAACCAGCTTTTGTCTGGGCTAGTACAAGCAGCCGCACATACACACGCATGCACGTTGTCATATGAGTGAAATATTTTCAAGCACGATGTTAAACCCAATTTCACCTCACCTCCACAAAAATGGTAGTCGGACAACTGGTAGTCTAGACTACGGACTTTGTGTACCCCTCTGATAAGTGTAAATTGGCATGGCTCCCATGGCCGAAAGCTATGATTACACAGTGCCATTTAGAAAGTGGCCAAATGTAACAAATATTATATTTGGAATTACAGTTTCTTAGTAAAGTACAAATTCTAGTACCTTTTTCTAGTCAATTTTTGTGGAAGTCACGGTAGCTGAGCAGGTTAGGCAGCTGACTTTGTGTGCTGGTAATTAGGTGCCTGACTCTGAGGGTGTGGGTTTGAATCCCAGATGGGACTCAACCCCAAAAAGTACTAGAATCTGTACTTTACTAAGAAAGTGTAATCCCAAATATAATATTTGTTACATTTGACCACTTTCTAAATGGCATTGTGTATTCATTCACACACATTGTTTCACACCCACCTACACTGACTCAGTGGCATTTCAAATCTTACTGGACTATGAGGATGGTTGTTACAGGCATCTTGCTTACATCTGTATGAAGTCCAGTAGTTTTTCAGAAAAAACACAGTGGACAAAGGCTTGTGACCCAGCTCACTGTGACAAGGGGTGGTGGGCTAGCCTAATGGTTATAATGTCTGCTTGTCAAGCTGAAGATCCGGGTTTGATTCCCCACATAGGTACAATTTGTGAAGCCCATTTCTGGTATCCCCTGCATGATATTGTTTCTGATGTTATGTTCAGAAATGAAACCAAGATATTTTCCAGACTTCTATCTGTGTTTATATGCTTCTGTTCAAGATGAATTCACAATTTTAGAAAACTTATGATTTTTGAATCAAGAAAATACAAATAGTTTGAATCTGTCAGTTACACTAAAAAATACAAAATCTAAAAACACACAAGTCATTCTGGAACTAATATAAATACAATATAAAACAACTTCAAAGCAATGAAGGTTGGATAAGAAAAAACAGTTGCAGCTATCATTTAAAAACTGAACTTATTTTTTACAGATGAAATGTTCAGAACTGAAGCCATACACAAAACTGTAAACTGAAACTCAAGCAAGCCATCAGAAACATTTTCACCTCAGAAAACTTTGACCTATAAAGTTGAAACTTCATGTTCTTGTAACAACCAGTGGTAGCAGCCCAATGTTTCAAAGGTTTGAATCTCAAAAGCCGTTAATGGGCATAAGGTACAAATAAAATTTGGTATATGTGTAGTGGGGTTCAACATACATGTCATTTTTTAGCACAATGTATGTTTACTCGTGAAGATCCGGGTTAGAATTGGTCTGCAGTAACCAATGCTTGTCGTAAGAAGACTAACAGGATTGGGTGGTCAGGCTCACTGACTTGGTTGACACATGTCATGATATCTCAACTGCGTAGAACAATGTCTCATTCTGTTGATCACTGGATTGTCTCGTCCAGACTCGATTATTTACAGACTGCTGCCGGAATATTGCTGAGTGTGGACTTAAACAACAAACCAACCAACAAATTATTTTATGTTTAACCTTGTTTTGACCCATTTCTGAAATGATCTCAAAAGGCATATTTGACCCTAATAACATCTTTCCCTATGAAATTGCCAGACAGGAGCTGAATTTAGGATGTATGTTTCCTCTTATGGTGATACCCATGAAGATCCCGGATAGAATTGGTCTCCAGTAACCCATGCTTGTCATGAGAGGCAACTAACGGGATCGGATGGTCAGGCATCAGGGGTGGAAATAACTTTAACATTGCTAATTTACTCCGGTACAGTGGCACATGTAAAATCACTTGCCCTGATAATTTTTCCATTATACTGGCCGATTTTCTTGTTGATTTTTTAAAAATAAACAACATAATTAACATTGGAAAGTCAACTGGACACCGGTACAACGTGGCAAACAAATTTGCTAGCCATCCCTGGGCTTGCTGACTTGGTTGACACTAGATCTATGCTCATGCAGTTGATCACTGAATTGTCTGGTCCACACTCGATTATTTACAGGCTGCCGCTATATAGCTGGAATACTTCTGAATGTGGTGCTAAACATCAACCAACCAATCCATCTTATGGTGATATCATATATTTTTCCTTATCCTGACTCATGCTCTTTTGCTTGTCTTCTTCTTCTTGCGAACATAGTGGAACACTTGTATCTCCTTATTTGAAGCTCCCTTCAAAATAAAATCACTAATTGGTACTCACCACGAGTTGCTCCCCTTTGTCTCCCCTGGCGGGAAAAGGTGTCGCCACCCTCTGGCCATGTGCTCCACTCTCTCCTTCTTCGCCCAGTGAGCAGGATGTGAGAGCGCCTTGTGTCTCCTTACACACATATCCTTTGATAATCTCTTAGTTTTTACCTCTCATAGGTTACTATAGAGGTATAGCTAGTATCCTTTACTATTTGTATTGATTAATTATCGTATTTCTACTGTTTATTCACGTGTATTCGTGATTGTTCAGCTAGCTTTACGTTCATGAAAATCTGTACGATTTGTAGATTACGTTTTTCTGCCTCCGATCCACATGTAATATGCCCTAGTTGTTCTACGCCGTGTGCGTTTAATTCACGCTGCAGTTACTGCATTAATTTATCTCATTCTGCATTTAATAAATATCATCTTTGCGTCTTAAGACGTGCTGCAGATAGATCACATGCAAAACAAGGGCAAAACATGGCAGAGAGTCCAGATATTCCTTCCAGTCAGCTGCTAGCGATCGACCCTCTCCCGTCTGGTGTTCTGCTAGAGACCCCTGCGGCAGAGGAACGTGGGACGCAGTCCGTTACCTCGAAGAAACGACCGGCCTCCCCAGACATCCCGTCATTGCAGACTAAGTCTAAGAGGGCCTCATCGTCGTCTCAACGCAGATTGAGGACACCCAGGGCAGCGCAGACTTCCAAAGGGAAATCTACGAAGACAGCAAGAACTTTCTCAGCCGAGATCGTTCCAGCAGCAGAGTTGGGCCTCTACGATGATCAGCCGATAATCATCCCCGACTTACGGCAGAAGAAGCGACCGGTGTCAGCGACTGTGACTTCTGCAGAGATCTCCATGCAGCCTGATGCCTCTACACCGACGTCAGACGTCATTGATGTGAACCCCATCGCAGAAAAGATGCCGACGACTTCGTCACAGATCATCCCAGAAGACATGATGCGGCAGATTATGAACATCATGGAGGACCACTACAAACTGCGCAAAGCAGGGTCCGAGTTTCGCTGGAAGGCTCCAACGTGACAGCACCCCAGAGGCACCCCCTCCAACGTAGCAGCCAAGACGATGTCACCTTCGCTAAGGAAGTCCCGCACCACCTTGATCGGCGGACCTAGATGTACAGCTCTTCGCGAAGGCCTTCGCTAAGGCGGGAGAGATCATCACCATCTTCGATTTCATCTCTAGATATGGACTCAGACCATCAGACATCACGGAAGCCTTCGCGAAGGTCATATCATCGATCCCCCGGACCGGACGCAAATGAAGCTTCGCGAAGGCATTCGCGAAAAGACATATGATTCCAGATCTTCATCGTCTAGAAGAACATCGAGGGACTGCCGAAGAGCTTCGAAGCTATCAACATTCACCTCACAAGTCTCCGAAGATCATCCCATAGGACGATCTCCACTCCGCTTCATCACCAGGTCGATCACCCATCAGATCTCCACATAGAGCGGCGCACAAGTCAACTAGATCGCCACAAACCTCATCAGATATTCAGATAGCTACACGCAGTCCCGAAGAGCATCTACAATTTATTAATGATGATGGTTTTGAGGATGATGGAGGAATCATATTTTCTGATGCAGAGATCACGGTATTGGATGGTCAATAACCTAGATCTCACATCACCATCTAAAAGTGGCAATACAGCTCAGACGATTTGATGAAGGAAGATGATCCAGATGCAATCACTCTACCCCGATCGACCCGATTATGGCAGTGCCACAGAATCTAGATGCAGCTTTCCAGAAAGCTACGAAAGTTCAGATACCACATCTACCCAACTTTCAAGCCAAGAAGTTCTCCACGCGATAACATGGACTCCTTCTACAAGGCCCAGGACATCGATGAGAACTATAAGATCATCAGCGATGTAAAGAACAAGATTTACAAGATGGATGATCGCAAGTTGGCTCATATAGAAACCATGACGAGACGTGATGTTCTTTGGGTTAAATAGATCTAGGACGATCAATGAGACTCTTATTACTAGATTCGGGATTCCACGACGGAAGATGATAGAATGATTTATTCTGCCTTACTTATGCAAAGAAAGATCAGCAGTTTTAACGGATCATCTTACATCTGTTTCAGCAGCACTGACCTTAGCTCGTCGTCAAGGCCTCCTCGCCTCCTGTAATTGGGGAGAACTTTACAGCCCCACTTTATACAGCCCGTGGTCGACAACATCCATCTTTGACGGAGAAATCGACAAGGGTCGCCAAGGAAGTCTCTAAGGATTCCAGGGAAGTCCTTATGATTAGATCGATGGACACACTAGCCAGCGTCATTCGTCCAGACTTCACAAAGATACTCAGGCAGATCTAAGTTCACGGGCCTACAAAGAGCAAGAGACAGGAAGATAGCCAGCTCTAGAGGTAAAGATTCTTTTCACGCCCCATATGGCAACTATAGAGGAGGATCAGGAAGAGGCAGGACACCCAGAGGTTCCCGCAATTATAGACGCTGAAACACAGGTTCAGAATCGACTGGAGTCTTCCACCCCCAGCCGTTCCAGTACAACCAGCTCAAGTGGGTGGACGCCTCCAACTACACTGGGAAAACTGGGGAATACTGCAAGATCCTTACGCCTCCAACATTATTCAACACGGATTTCGGTATCCTCTACTGGACAAGCCTCCGCTGACAATCAAACCCCCAAGTTCGACATTTACGCAATAAACTACCAAAGATAAAGAGAGGCTGTCTCATCACTCCTATCCAAACAGGCCATAGAAGTAATAGATCAAGCAAACGCCGAACCAGGTTTCTACTCCCCAGTTTTCCTAGTTCCCAAGAAAAACTCCACGAGAAATACAGACTCATCTACAACATGAGCTTTTTCAACAAGAACTATCTACGCAAACCACGAAGTTTCTCAGATGATACATTTACCTCAGTTACGCCAGATGATTCGTCCTATGGACTACATGGGCAGCATAGATCTACAGGATGCCTACTTGCACATCCCCATTCATCCCGATTCCAGGAAATACCTACGATTTACTCTAGAAGGGCTACATTACCAGTGGAAAGTACTCCCATTCGAATATCATCAGCCCCTGGCTATTCACGAGGATAACGAAACCGATTATCAAATTTCTACATCGTCAAGGGCTACATGAGTGCGCTTTACTCGACGACGGGATACAAGTAGATCAAGATCCACCGCGCTCAAACTACAGTTAAATTACATCATAAAGCTACTAACACAACTAGGTTGGTTAGTAAACTTACGCAGTCGGACCTAGTACCATCGCAAGACCTACAGTTCCTAGGTATTCGATTCATCACAAATCGCGAACCGTGATATGGTACCAGAAGACCGTTGGCTCAAGATACAACAGACCATTCCACCAGCTCTACTCTCCGCTACCACTGCGACAATGGCAGAGCCTACTAGGTCTTCTCACATCAGCCCAAGACATGACTGTCACAGGCAGATTACAGTTACGTCCCCTACAGGTCCTCATCAACGACATCTCAACGATGTACAACCATTCAGTCTACCAAACATCTCAGACCACATCTACTATGGTGGACCAAGGAATCGAATGTCTCGCGAAGGGATTTGTTTAGCAGAGCAGGAATACAAAACCCATCTGTATGTAGACGCCGTCACTCCAAGGTTGGGGAGCTCATCTCACCAACCACACGATATCAGGGTTATGGAATCAGCAAGAATGCAAACTCCATATAAACAGTCTAGAAATGAAAGCTGTAATCAACGCCATTCTACATTGGAGCACATTTCTACAAAATGCGGCCTAATGATCCATACAGACAATTCGACAGTGGCGTTCTACATAAACAAGCAAGGCTCAACGAGATCGATGAACCTTTTGAACCTAAGCTTTCAACTGTTCGATTTAATACAAGATCTAAATCTACATGTCAAAGCAGTGCACATTCCCGGAGCCAGAAATATACTAGCAGACGCTCTCTCTCGCCCTCATCTACCATCACCGACAGAGTGGATGATCAACCGAAAATTTTGCACAGATAATCAAGCAATTAGGCGCGCTAATAGACCTATTCGCCACGCTGATTCAACAATCAGCTACCGACATTCGTGTCACCAGTCCCAGACCCCAAGCTTGGGCAACGGACGCTTCTAAGTCTATCATGGAAGGCCTCAATGCGTGCAGCTTTCGCCGCCCAGCAATAATACCTCAAGTATTACAGAAAATCAGACAAACACAGAGCCTACAACTCACTTTGGTCGCTTCCTACTGGCGGCCAGAACGTGGTTTCCCATACTAATTCAAGAAATCGGTCAACCAACACTGGAGCTACCTGCCAAGCGAAAACCTGTTAATTCATCCTCACACCAAACAAGTGCACGGAAACCCAGCAATGTTCCAACTACACGTATGGACTGTATACAAATGTGTTTAAACAAGAGAGGATATTCTGCCAGGGCGGCAAAAGCAGTCACGCTTTGCCTTTACGTTACTCAACTCGTGAATCCTTGTACGGCACGACAAGTGGCACAGTTTCAAAAATTATGCAACAAAGAAAGGGTTTACAGCAAGAGAGGCTTCACAACCTCAAGTGGCAGACTATTTGTGTTACCTACGCCAAAACAAACATTTAAAAGGTTCAACGATATCAACATATCTTGCCGCTTTAGCTCTGTAATCACCATGAGAACGGGTGTCAAATTGACAAGATCTCCAGAGTTACTGGCCTTACTACGAAGCTTTCGATTGAGGACCAAAAGCGGAAGTTCCACGCCCAGCTTGGGATCTGAATGTAGTGTTACAACACCTCACGAGTGAGGTCTATGAACCCTTTGAATCGACAAACTTTGAATTTCTCTCACAGAAAACATTGTTTCTGCTATCGCTAGCCACAGCAGCAAGAATGTCTGAAATTCACGCTCTGGATTACGAGAGGATACAGTTTGATGACAATCATAACACAGCGCACCTCGGATTAAGATGGGATTTCATTGCAAAGAATCAACTGCCAGGTCAACCAGACAGATTATTCCACATCCCGGCGCTTATCCTCTATTCTCGGATCACAAGATACACAAGACCTATCACTGTGTCCGTAAGAGCCCTCAAAGTTTATTTCTGACGATCCAAAACTAGGAGAAGATTTCTCAAACGCTTATTCATCCCATTATCGCCACTTAATCAAACAGAAGTGTCACGGACCACAATATCTATTTGGATAAGGACTGTCATTCTCCGTGCCTACAAGGCAGCAGGCTTGGACCCACCAACAGCATCAAATCCACATGAGATCAGGGCACTGGCCTCTACCCTCGCCTCTACACGGTAACTGTTCCTTGAACACGATTATGGAAGGATGCTATTGGAAATCTAACATGGTATTTGCTAATCACTACCTAAGAGACATCACTACAGAAGATGTCTCTGGCATTCACCATTTCGACCACTGGTCCTCGCTCAGCAACTGACAGTCCCTCGTGGCGCTTAAAATATTAGCCTCACAAGATTAATATGTATTTTATACATACTCATCTAGCTTATAACTCTAAGGAGTTTTAGGGCTATGTATATATGTTCAGCTTAAGTATTCTACCTTAAGCATATACTTGGATATAGTCAATTTCAGTGCCTCTATCAGAGTCACCTATATATATATATATATAATTTATATGTATTGTTCAATATATTCATAATGTAATTCCCTTTAATGGCTTTATATAACCTATGGTTTTCTTTATACAGGATACATCCTAAATCTAAGACTTCATGAAGTTCCCGTGGGGATATTACAGCATATCTATACAAAATCACTAATTATAAATCCAAAGTATTCTGTTACCCACCTCCTCGCTCCATGAGGATGCTACAAGCAAAAAGAGCATGAGTCAGGATAAGGAAAAATATGTAATTTTTAGAGTAAAATTGATATTTTATACTTATCCTGACTCATGAGGTTAGCCCTCCCATCCTCCCCACATAACACTTTGGATTTCCCTGTAAATTCAAGTGTTGGGCTCGCTAAATCAGGAGAGAGTGGAGCACATGGCCAGAGGGTGGCGACACCTTTTCCCGCCAGGGGAGACAAAGGGGAGCAACTCGTGGTGAGTACCAATTAGTGATTTTATTTTGAAGGGAGCTTCAAATAAGGAGATACAAGTGTTCCACTATGTTCGCAAGAAGAAGAAGACAAGCAAAAGAGCATGAGTCAGGATAAGTATAAAATATCAATTTTACTCTAAAAATTACATTTTGTTGAAAACATGAGATTTTAGTTTTTACTCAAACAGTATTTGTGCAGTGTGTATTTGCATACTTATCAATATCTGTCTCTGTTGACATTGAAACTGCCGACTACATATGCAACTGAGCAGGTGGTAATAGTTTTTATTGTAGGTATAGTCGATAGAATTATCATCAAGCCGCCCACAATTTATCAGGCAAATTATAGGAAAACTCCAATATGATAATACTTGATGGTGTCTGGATGTATCGGTATGACTCTCTTGACGCACTCGACTGATGATTGAAGAATGTATGTATGGAACAATTTGATCAGTAACAATTGAGGCTGCAGGCGTTCTTGCTACTTCAAATGAATAAAACCAAATGTTAATATTAGGGCTATAATGATGCATCGAACTATCGATGGTTTGCAATTGTTGAGTCTCTGATAGCAATTAATCGATGGTAGAAACAAAAAACTACTGATGCATTGATAATATGTGTGACTATCAATAGTTTAGTATTGTGACTTCTGTTGATAAATGCGCAGCGCAAAATACAGGAAGTACGAAATTTGTTCACTTTGATTTAAAGTTATCTGCTCCTGTTACCGCTTAAACAAACATGACTGTTTACTTGATCTGGGTTTTGATTTTTTTGCCAGTTATCAAAAGAGACTGAAACTACTTGTTTTTATTTCAAATAAACTATACATTCATTTAGGAAATAACTTCAAATGAGACAATTCAAGGAGAAAAAAAGTATTGCAATAGTATTGCAATAGTTCATCGCAATAGACTATCGCTATCGCAATAGTTCTTTCCCCCTCAATAGTTACCCCTAGTTAATATCGTAATTAGCGGCTAAAAATAGCTATAAGTATATCAGGCAGTTACCTTGTTTGAGGAGTATGCCCATAATATCCACGCATACGAACAATATCCCATACATCTAAAGCTGTGTAAAGAAACTTGTTTGATGTGTCTTTGTAACAATATAATATTTAAAAATATTGAAGGCATTTTGGGATATTATAAGCAGAGCTCGTCTCCCGACTGACTGTTTCACAACAGCATCTTGTCTCATTGGTAAGCTGGGATAGCACTAGTGATATCTGTGTTCATGATATCCATGGTTCTTTCAAAACTTTCAAAATTTCAGTTTAAGCAACAATGAAAAATCAATCAACATGGTTTGTTGACAATTATTGGCTAATACTTTGAACAAGGTATGTAGGTACCTAGAAGTGGGTGTATTCCGGTCTGCTTTAGTAAACCTAGGTAGGTTAGCCTAGTGGTTAAAGCATTCACTCATCACGCCAAAGGCCTGGGTTTGATTCCCTACAAGGGTACAGCGTGTGAAGCACATTTCTGGTGTCCCCACCGTGTTATTGCTGGAATATTGCTAAAAGCGGTATAAAACCCAACTTACTCACTCTTGCTGTGCAGCCACATACGTATTACACATGTAATGCATTCACATGAAGCCCTTAAAACCCAGTGTTTGATTCAATAATTACAGCAGACATGAGTGAGTGAGTTAAGTTTTACGCTGCACTCAGCAATATTCCCGCTATATGGCGGCGGTCTGTAAATAATCGAGTCTGGACCAGACAATCCAGTGATCAACAGTATGAGCATCAACCTGTGCAATTGGGAACCGATGACGTGTCATCCAAGCCAGCAAGCCTGACCACCCGATCCCGTTGGTCACCTCAGACGACAAGCATGGGTTACTCAAGGTTTATTCTAACCTGGACCTTCACGGGTATATCAGATATGAGAAATGCGTAATGTGAACTGACAATTGCTATATATCCCTGACACCCTCCACCTCAGAGGAACGGGTGAACTATATTGAGTAATTTGCATAGTCTTGGTGCTGTAATACTTGAAATGAAGTAATTAGTGAGTTTAGTTTTACGCTGCTTTTAGCAATATACCTGAAATGAAGTATAGTATGACCAGAATTTATTGAGAATTTTAGGAATATGTTTAATTGGATTTCTAGTATAAACAACCATGACCAGCTATCAAGTGCTTGGTTTCATTCAAGAGAGACAACTCCGTTCATTAGTTTGTGAAGATTTATCCCCCTTTGTTTACTTGCTAGCAGACGACATTTTCGGTGATCCTCAGTATGGATGATTTAGAGAAGAGGAAGTTGATTTAAGAGTATTGTAACAAGGACATCAGATCAGCTAAAGTGATTTCAAGTAGAACAGGCATCCCTTTGTCCACTGTTTATCGTGTTTGAGCACCAGGGAGGCGCAGGTAGGCCCAGAAAATTGACTGTCGGTGACAGGAGGCTGCTTGGTATTCTTGTTTCTAAAAACAAACGAAGGAGTTTAGAAAACTTAAGGCTGGATATGATTGATAGAGGAACTGTGGCTGTCTGTAAGGAGACAATTAGAACTGAGCTGCATGTAATGGGTTGGCAGAAAAGTCGAGGAATTCCATCACCGATCATGAAACCTGAACAAAAGGAGCGAAGGTTGAACTGGTGCTTACAGCATATAAATTTTCACTGGGACAATGTGATTTTCTCAGATGAAAGTTTTTTGTGGCGGTTTCCTAATACACTGAAATTCTGGACCAAACAAACTGAAAAACCTTTGTATCAGCGCCAAAAGTACAGTCCGAAATTTAACATGTGGGGTGGCATATCTGTGTTAGGGGCAACGCCCCTCTGTGTATTTGAAGGTAATATGAACAGTGAGTGGTACACAGATATTCTCGAGGGACATTTACTTCCATCTGCTCATGTGTTCTATGGAAAGTTTTTGATTTTCCAGCAGGACAACGACCCAAAACATCATTCAAAGCATTCACAGGCCTGGTTTCGGACCCAAAATATGACATTATTAGATTGGCCAAGCTATAGCCCTGACCTAAATCCAATAGAAAATGTTTGGGGACTTATGAAGGAAAGTGTCATTAAAGAAAAATCTGACAAATATTGCTGAAATGAAAGAAGAGGTGGTCCGATATTGGGACAGCATGGACCACGACTTTCTAACTTCTTTGATCAGTAGTATGCCCCGCCGCATTGAAGCCTGCATTGCTGCCCACGGTGACTTGACAAAATACTAACTGTTCACCTGTCTTTAAATCTTGAGTTATGTTCTGTTAATATTCACATTTAATACGCGAGTAATGAGTGAAAAAAAATAAAAAATTACAATCTTAAATTCTCAATTTTTTCTGGTTGTACTGTAATTAGTGATTTTAGTTTTATGCTGCTTTTAGCAATATTCCAGCAATATCACGGCAGGGAACACCGCAAATGGGCTTCACACAATGTTCCCATGTAATCGAACCCAAGTCTTCAGTGTGATGAGCAAATGCTTTAACCAGTGGGCTACCCCACCGCCCCTCATGAAGTCATTAACTGAGCATCAAGTGAAAGACGACAAGTACACCAGTGTAGGGCTAATACGATAAAACATGGATGACTAGTGGGAAGTAGTTATTGGTCTATTGAATACATTTTGCCTGAAAAGTAAGGGTTGTTACCGTTTTAAGTACATTAACCGAACTGGATAGTTTCAAAAATAATATGTACACATTACAGCTGTATTCTGAAGTACATATTTGTACATACATATTTACACATAAACAAGCATCCAAGGCAAAAGCTTTTTGGTTTTCAAATAGGCACTCCCTTGCTGGTTCAGTTTGTTGTGTGGCTGACACTAATTGCCACCCATTGTTACACAGGCTAATTAAACTGGCACTGACTGGACGACTGAAAGGTGTAGTTTTGTTTCCCCTTAAGCAGTGTGAATTATACTGGTGGTGTATTGTTACCAGGTGAGGTGAGGGTTTAACGTTGTGCTTGAGAATATTTCGCTCATATGACGACTTGCATGTGTGTGTATGTGTGTGTGCGGCTGCTTGTACTGGCCCAGACTGAAGCTGGTTTTATAGAGCTAGCCCACTGAGATACCATGCCGCAGTGAAGCATGAATACCCCACTCATACAGTGGACGGACTCAGAGCCGACCAGTCCTTGTTATACCCATTAATGCCGAACGCCATGCAGGGGCCATATTTTAACGTCTAGGGGTATGACGCAGCCGGGGATCGAACCCACAACCTTCCGCTCTCTGGGCGGACACTCTAACCACTACACCACGGAGGTGGTATATTGTTACCAGGTGTGACCTGGCTGATAAAGTGATATTCCTACACCTATGTTGGACTGCTGCTATGTCAGCCTCGACACATTCAGCATCCAGAGCAACGACGATTCAATCATTCCACCAGTGAACTAACTCACAGAACAAAAGCATGGCAGTTCGATCCCAGGTCTAGTACACAAATCATGTTGGGAGATGATGATTCTTGTTTCCCTCTGGGGCAGTGGGGTAGCCTAGTGGTTAAAACGTTCGCTTATCATGCCAGTTCGATTCCCTACATGTGTACAATGTGTGAAGCCCATTTCTGGTGTTCCTCACCATGATATTGCTGATATATTGCTAAAAATGGCATAAAACTAAACTCACTCTTGTCCCTTTTGTCACAAGCGCCAGTCAGAAAACAAGTCTGCATGCATGCTACTAGACAAGTGCAATAAAACACCAGCTGGTCCAATGTCCATATCTCCGGTTGATGCACGAATATCTTGAATATCCAAATTTCTACTCACGCATTACATAAACACTTAATAACAAGGACACATCTGTGGTAATGGAGTTTTTTATTCAAAGATTTAAAGGACAATATATTGAAAGCACTACACTGTATAAGTGATCAAAACATGAAGAGGTGAACATAGAAGGATTATCTCCCCTTATTTCCTTCCCCAGCATGGGCTGTGTCTACAGATACAGGGTCCTTGAACCAAGGGGACATAACCCATCTAGGGTGTACGTGTGCTCTAGTGTCCATTCCTTACACCACCACTTGACAATCGAGATTCACATAAAGAAAATGTCAAAATTTCATATCTAGATAAATAACTTTTTTTAATTCATCATACTTTATATCACTCTTGTGAGACATTTATATAAAACAAGCAAATTTCATAGTGTGCATATGAAGCCTGTTTGCATGGAATTTGAAAATAAATGTTATATTGACGTGTTGTCTTTGGAGCATGCAGAAAACTAGAATAAGTAGGAAATGGAGGAAGCTAATTGTTAATTAACACAACAGGTGGTTAACGTGACCAGTACCAATTAATGAGAGGTTGAGGCTGCTCTAACTACAATGGAGAAGAATGATAAGTTAATCCCAAAAAACTTTGAGTGTCGGGGTAAGCAAGAATTAGCACCTACTGAATGAGTCAGATTACGACAAACCTAAGGATGATTCATCTCAATGAGAAAGAACAACACGTGGAAACTGTCACGATGGTAACGGAGATGAACAGAGAGAAATGAGCTCGGTGAACATTGGCCATCACAGACCAATAAGTGACAATGATGAATGCATAAAAATTGGCATATATTGAAACCGTGCTGCAAGATACTACTGTGTTTTTACAAAGCTTGAATGACCAGTAAGTGATGCAGCCTGGCTCTGTAACATTTCAACATTGTCATTAGAACTTTAAACAGAATAAAACACATAATGAAAATAGTAAAATTGGTTAAACACAACCAACATGATTGTTCTTCCTACACCCCTATTATCACGAAAATAGACCCATCCTGGATAACAATGAATAGACTTCCCCTCTCCCGCAAGGGGTTCATCGGCATAAATGGGGGGTGAAAGATTGCCTAGTGGCTAAAAAGTAACGGAAACTGAAATATTTCCATTCCAAAACACATACTGGAAAAACTTGCAGCAGCATGAGCTGAGTATCAGCAAAGTCCCCTGAATGACATATACACACATATCTCAAACACACACATACATTTGCATGCATATCACATTGGCACATCCTATCATTTCTTATGCTTTTCAAAAACTATCATATTTTCTGAAACATGACTCATGCACCAAATTTATATGTCGATCATTATCTATTGGTCTTGAGATTTTTAATATTTATATTTTGGATCAGCCATCAAGGTATGCATGTGCATGCAGATGCATGTGCATATTTGTTACTTTTAGGAGGAGACTATGGGAATTTACAAATAGTGGCATAGAAACAAAATGAAGTATCAATATTCTGTGGTGATACATAGTACATTTTTTACAATCAATACAATCAATGTTATTAAAATACACCAACCATCTAGAGATACCATAGGTGTACAAAATGTTTCTCAGTATGTATAATTCAGAGGGATCAATCTAAGAGTGGCAACGACTGTAAATGGTATGTGTTTTCATAATATTGAAAGTATCTGACGGAGCCATACTTCAAAGTCTGTATACAAAGTTTCATCAAAATGCTTGCCTATCTCAGGAAATTATACGACTGGCCTAAAACTGAGATCTTCATTTTCATACCTGAGTAATTCTGATTAAAATTAATTCTGAACAAAAATAAAACAATGCCATTGTTTTCTCTCTACAATTTGCAAAAGTCAATCAAGTTATTATTTTACAATTTCATCTTATTACAAGCAATTACTCAGTTGAGTGATGAAAAACTAACAGTACGATATCATCTGTTTTGCATGGTTTCTTCAGAACAGACCTTGATGATGGTAGCCTAAATATCACATACCCCAATCAAACTGACACCTTTAGCTTAAATCCTCTCCCATCATTTCAAGAAGCTGGTTAATAGTGGAAAAGGAGATATGTATGCCTTAAGTTGCATTATTGTAAAAAGATAGTAAAATATTGATGTTAATGTAATACGTCATCAGAAGTAACAATACTGGTCTTCCTACAAAGACAACCGCTCCAGAGTGATACAAAAACAGCAAGGACAACTTACAATGTATTATGCATGGATATGAACACGAACAAATATTTGCTGGTACAATAGAGCTTTGTGCATGAAACTCAGATAAACGAAGGTATTAATGTGGACACAAATTAAAGCATGAATTTGTTCTGAAGTTTGTTTTTATTACAAAACACTGATTTCACAAATTGCACCAAAACCATTTGAATATCATAAGTAGGTCTCTTTAGTATGGATGGAATTCATTGGATGTACACATACAAACAAGCCAACAGGATTTAAAACTCTCTAATTAAAACTCTTAAAGAAATTACTCTTTTTCTGTTCTTAAAATTTAAAACTATTCTATATTTCATGAAATATTGAATATCTATATATCTAAAATCTGTTATATATACATTTGCAGTAAGGCAAATATGATATATTTTCCAAAAGCATATGTTGATCAGATACAAGTTCTGAAATCTGTACAGTATGACAGAGAGCCCCTTGTTATTTCTCCTCGCTAACTTTCTCTATGAAAAATGTCTTGAAGAGAACATGATGCCCAAGTCAAGATGTGTACAGAATTGCTGAAAGCAACAGAACAATCAATACTTCAAACCCTGGTAAAATCATTCAAAAATAATTTGATAAAAATTAAAAAATTGTTCTTAAAAATCAAATAACAGCCGGATAAGACGTGCAAATAATAAGTTATAATAATAATAATATTTTCAACAAAAATTACACGTTTTTACAGTTCCATTATAAAGTGGAAAATCATTATGATGTTTCCTGAGAAAAAATGTACAGAACCTATGACAAGTGGCAAATAAAAAGAGCGAGGGACTATATGCAAACCATTATATACAACATGTATGCACATACCACACATTACACCTAGTGGTAGCACTGGCAGTTCCAAAACTTTTCCATTACACTTGGGTACAAGGACCTTTACCATGAAACTAATACCTTTAACAATTGTAAAAACACACCCAGTGCTTACAATTGTCATGCTAGCTTTTTCAATTTTTAGCAGCCAACAAAATTACAATTTGACCAAATTACTATCATTTTGCAGTGATTAAAGTATTCATATCTGTATCCTTTATGATGAATTTATTTCAATGAATTGAACAATTTGATGTGACAAACAATTAAACCAAGCTCTCAATTAGTATGCAGCAATGAGAAAAAAATCGTTTCCTTGTTTTAAAACCTATGAATCAAAACATATTATGCATAAAATTACACTTTACAGATTAGAATTAAACACTATATTATCATAGTTGCAGTTTCTTTCCCAAGCAAGACAAGAGCACCATTATGCCATCAACAAATGAAGGGAAAATTCCTAGGTAAGATATCTACTCATCTCAGGAGCAAAGAAAGGGTAAATATTCAGCATATGATTTTGTTAATATAGAAAATGCTATAAATGTGGTTATAGGTTGCTCATAAGACTGACAAAATTTGGAAGTATCAATTCATGTTTTTCTAAACTACGAATAAACCTACAAACGAGCCCAAGGCTAACGGTTTGAGAAGCTGTATGCTTACACAAATGCTTAAAACAGACGGAACGCTTACTGCTTCAAAAACAAAACACACACTGAGAAAACGAGCAAAAGTCCACGATGATACCAGTATTGCACTTAACTGAGAATAGGGATTTCATGTCTCTTACTGCTACGCTTCTTTAGCCTTCATCTTTCGATAATATCAGTGACCAAATTCTACATTGCAAGTACCAAACCCATGTACATTCAACCAGGCTCTGAACACAGACTCGAACCTAGCCATGGTAACTCAGACCAACCGTGCATCGCGTGACTCAACACTTGCACGTCACATGTGTGTATGCCTAGGCAACAGTTGCCGTGGTGATGGCATCCTGGCATAAGTAGTTGGTTATACTGGCATGTTTACTAACGAGACCATTACTCCTTCGTTCTTACAGTAAAGCATGCCTTTAGCATCTGTTCTCGTCATCATGCCAACCCGCTATGCCATTTCATGATGCATCGATTGCAAAAGTATGTTAAATGGAATAAAAGATTTTTCCATGGACAATCACAGTGTACCGACCAGAGAGGACTTGAAGACAGTTCGGAAACAAGATGCCTCAGAAAGCTAAAAATTGTCCAAAAACTGAAGATTCTCTTCACATCATGACCGTCGCCGTCACTTGTGATGCACGTCTATTTTGCATGTGGGGCTGATGCGCTTCCGGACCTGTGGAAATGTACGTTCTGCCACTTGCCATCTTTTCTCTGCCAGATTCTCGTTTCTTCAGACTGCATTGTCACTGGCAGGCCGTTTCTGGAACAATAACGACCAATCAGTTGTTATCAAGAGATTCATATTACTCTGATTCACAGGTGTAGGCTGGGTACAACTAGTTTCATCATGTTGCACATCTTAAAATTAGGGCCAGTATATAATTTTCATTTTTCTGCATAATATAACAAAGGAGGATATATCTGACACATATTGTTCTACATGACAGGACTAGTGAGGCTATATATGACACATATTGTTCTACATGACAGGACTAGGGAGGATATATATGACACATATTGTTCTACATGACAGGACTAGGAAGGATATATATGACACATATTGTTCTACATGACAGGACTAGTGAGACTATATGACACATATTGTTCTACATGGCAGGACTAGGGAGGATATAAATGACACATTTGTTCTACATGACAGGACTAGGGAGGATATATATGTCATATTGTTCTACATGACAGGACTAGTGAGGCTATATATGACACATATTGTTCTACTTTACAGGGATAAGGATGATTTGTGCCACACATGGTTAGTAACACTAAAAACAACCCAAGCCTCAAAGATACTAGGATGTGTTTGGACTGCAGCAGCTGTGCAACTATCACCAGTGTTTCTCAGTTCTGTCTTAACTACACTGTACATATTTCAGACCATGTTCATACTTCTAGCCAAAGTACAAGACATTCACAAATGGCAAGTCACAATAAAACTATTTCACAAATGAGACTTATGTATTTTGATTTTCATCACACATATATTGCCTTTTTCATAACAAAAAAGAAGACACATTTTTGGTAATCATAGGATGAATTTGGATAAAGGTTGGCATCACCACATAGTTATCAATAACTAAATAGACATTTACCACAGGATCAAATCTGAAATGCTATTCCCTATCAATAAAGCTTCCATGACCAGAGGGAGCATGTAATAGCAGGCAAATATCTTCCTAGAGGGCAGTGGATACTCGTTACAAGAAACGAGTTATGAAGCTCCAACGTACCTCCCAACATTCTCAGTCGATATTAGCGTTTATGATGACCTTAAATCATTTTGTTCGATTTGCAATAGAGGGACTTTAAGCCTTCATTCTTTCTGTGAACACCTGGTGTCATCATAGACTCTTTAGTGACTTATAAAACTTCATCAGTGTTTTGCTTTTTACAATAAATGGAATCTATTTGGCAGATAACTTGGGACAGAGTTATCTCATATAACATAACATGGATGTATTACATTTAATGCAACTCTTCTTGAAAAGAGGAAGATGGGAATTAACCTGTCAGTTCTGTTTCACACAGTAATCGTAGCACCAAAAACAGTCAAATCTTCCTAGATGGGATCTTGGGCATAGAAGCTGAGAAACACTGACTTTACAAAAACATGTGAAAAGCAAAGTAATCATTAGAGTAGGGCTCAAAATGAACTCATGTGACCGACCTGTCTATGTACTGCGTAAGTCTGATGTACGCAATGCACGCTGCATCTTCCCCAAGCAGGTGAACGTGAGGGTTCAAAATGCTGGTGTTCACCGGCTTGTTATTTTTTGACAAAACTGAAACCAGAAGACAAACGGTTTAAGATGACTTACAACAAACATATTTACAAAAATGCAAGAATTTACAGTCTGCTATGATGGACTGATAAGTATACTCTATCCGAAAATGTAATCATGGTTTGATTTCAGTTATCAGTTTTAACAAAAAGGTTGCAAACGCTCAAATGAAATGCTATTACGCATCTGATCTAAACACAAAATGTTATTCTATTTAACATTACAAAATAATGTTGTGATACATAGAGAAAACAAACTAAACCAAGTCTATTGAATGGAATTTGCTTTATCAATCATATGAATTCACAAGGGTTTGGTATTTGAACTAATATATTTCTCATACATTTGTCCTTCTCCTGTGTTTTGGCACACTCACCATGATCAAAGTAAAACTTATGGAAGTCCATGCCTACAATGAGATTGCCAAGAGCCTCAGGTTCAAAACTTGTCAGGTGAGGATCAATGAGCTTCCTGAAACACAACATCCTGCGTGAAGAAACCTACTCCATATCATCATACAACTGATACGTTTATGCTGCATTGATATCACTATCTGACAAACTTGGTATCACAATCCAACAAATATGCAAACCCTTTACCATGCCAAAGTACCATTGCAGAATGCTCAACTAAAGTAAATCAAAGTTTCCGAATATGTGCCCTTACACACAAACATGGCTGCAGGTGCCCTCTGGCGCTACATGATCCATGGGTTGGTTCAGGCTTTGTTTAGCCTTAGAAATTCTACAGCAACTATGTGTGAAGCCTCGCCATCATATTGCTGGGATATTGCTGAAGGCTGCATTAAACTAAACCAACTCACTCACTCACTATAGTTACACTAGAGCCTGGAATCAGGTCTTGAACTTATATATGTCATGTATTTGACTTAATTGACGTATATATGTCATGTATTTGACTTAATTGACTTATATATGTCATGTATTTGACTTAATTGACGTATATATGTCATGTATTTGACTTAATTGACGTATATATGTCATGTATTTGACTTAATTGACTTATATATGTCATGTATTTGACTTAATTGACTTATATATGTCATGTATTTGACTTAATTGACTTATATATGTCATGTATTTGACTTAATTGACTTATATTGACTTGACTTAATGGACTTATATATGTCATGTATTTGACTTATATATGTTAATTGATGTATTTGACTTAATTGACTTATATATGTCATGTATTTGACTTAATTGACTTATATATGTCATGTATTTGACTTAATTGACTTATATATGTCATGTATTTGACTTAATTGACTTATATATGTCATGTATTTGACTTAATTGACGTATATATGTCATGTATTTGACTTAATTGACGTATATATGTCATGTATTTGACTTAATTGACTTATATATGTCATGTATTTGACTTAATTGACGTATATATGTCATGTATTTGACTTAATTGTCTGTCTTATGATGCACAGGTCATGTTTGACTCTTAGCCAGGTGAGCTAACAAGGCAAGACCAGCAACCCTGTCCACAGCTGAGAAGTAAGTATACGCAAATGTAAACAAGCCTTCTCTACCACAGCAGCTGTTGCTCCTTGGACAGTTAGCTGGAGCTTGTGCAAACAGAAATCATTATCTACAACCTGTTGCTAATACGTCTTGACGTCCACTTCTAATGGTGTCACCATAAACTGGCTGTCAAAACTCGCATCCCAGCAGGCCAAAGTATGCACATGAATGAAACCACTGTTACTCTAGTTTAATGTGATCTTGGAGATTATTTGGAGCATTTTAAGGCATGTCTGTGCAAGCATAGTAACATGTATCTCCAGTGCAGGTAGAGCTGAAGATTGCTGATACTCCTAGATTTTCCATGTCCAAACTTACAGTACAGTGCATAACAACTTAGAGCAAACAATACATTCTTCCATTCAATCTTCTGCGCTAAATATTTTTCCAATACTGAAAAAGTCTGTCTGCACTTTATCAAGAAAGTTTTTATGAAGATATGTTGTAACATATCGTACGCCTTTCATCATGTCTCGTATTCTAATGCGTCGCTCTCTAGACCTACTTCATCCCCCGTGTAACATGAAGCAGAGTACAGGTAAACCGAGAGCTTCAGAAGGTAAGCAGGCACATGAAGACCACTCACGTGTACGCCTCATAGTCCCCGCTGGTGATCGCCTGCAGCATCTGTTCGGTGAGCTTGATGATTTCCTGTTTCCGACCTGAATCACAAAAACACAAAGTTTCAGATTTGGCTGCACAAGTTATTTAAAAACACACACCAAAATATTGTTTTATAAGACATTTAATAAAGATTGAATGCAAAAAAGTCTTAAAAATTTTCATTACATGTTTTAAAAAATGAAGTCAACAGCTCCTGAACCTGTGGGGGTATATTCCACATGAATGTTTTGTGCTTGACAGCCTATGAGAAGGGCTTTAAGCTAAGCGACAAATCTGTGTGCCTGACTGACGACATTTCTTCATAAAGACTGTTTGCCTTGACAATCGATAAAATCAATGAATGTTCTTTCCCTGTATAATATCAGATTACACTTTCCTGGCTCCAAGTCGATGAACATGATTGGCACATGTGCCCAATCCTTGATGGGGAAAACAATACACAGTGCTTACATGAATAACAATGTTCCTATATATTCTGTAGATAACTGGTGTATACAGGATATCTGAAATACTGTTGGCTAATACTAAAAAACAATGAAACAAACAATACAAGTTATAGTACATAAAATCTCAAAATCCCTACGCTCTTGCCAACATAAGATATCAAGACACTTAATAATAGGAATTATTTGTGAAAAAGGCACGTATGGATTTAAATTATTTCTGAAAAGGGCATATCAGAATATACATTATTTTTGAGACAAGACACAGTAATCAAGTGAACACTGGGATCTAGTACTGGAGCAGATGCAAGTTCCCAGTGAGGTATGATTTATGGACCTATTTCCAAAGGACAAGTAGTGAAAGTACACATCCTGAAGTCAAGTGCATGTGTTAGAAGAGAGATCAGTCCACACCCAATCACGTGATCATCACGCAGTGCAGGTTGCAACAGGTCACACCATCCACCAACAAAATGCTTCTTTCAGTGTTTGGAAAAATATTCTGAGAGAATCATAGCAATCAGATTATTAACCATCATAACAAAAAATGATTAGGCCATAATATACTACTCAAACAAAGTTAAGGAGCACCCGATTCCTTCATATTATGTAAGTTAATCTGTTAAGAAAGAACTGGATGGTCCTTTATTTTGTTTGAGTAGTATATATACAATCTCAAAGCACCATCTGGGAACACCATGTCAGCATGGTACACAAACTGCCATGTATTTGCATGAGTCATGACAATGAGGGGTTAAATATTGAACTAAAATTTGGACAGAAAACCAAAGTAAGGGGGTCTGAAAATGCTATGGCAGAAACAAGGAGCACCATGCATAACTCTGACCCGGCCATTGTCCCTCTTGTCCAAGACTAGTATCTCACACAGTCCAACTGATTTCACATAAATGAAACAATAATTATCTCATACAAAATGGTAAACCGAGTAGTTAATACTGGAAAGAAAGAATATTACTTTGCACTTCATTTATAGATTTTGATACAGCAGCAAAAGATATCATGAAGAATCTGTGGTTAAACATCCATTTCTTATAACCGAGCTCCATGCCAAAGCTATCCCATCACCTCTATCTATAAATAATAATACTGCCATGATGTATGAACATGAAGCATAAACCATTTTGCTGTTGATGAAAGGAAAAACAAATAATAACTGTACCGTTAATCACATCCATCAAGGTTTATGATGATTAACACGAAGCTTGAAACAATGATCTCACATGGGTTCATAAAATCCTCATAAATTTTTCCTTTAATATAATGAACTGCATTTCTTTACCTGGTCAAAGCCTGTTTTACATGAAAATTACCTCTGATTAATGTCCCTATCTCTACAATTGGAGGAATCATATGACTCAGCAATATTCCAGCTATATGATAGCAACCTTTACATAGTCGGGACAATCCAGTGATTGAAACTGTGATAAAACATCCACACCATTGTGAAGTATGAGGACATGCTATTCACCAAGTCATGGAGCTGACCGTGCAATTCATTTGGTAGCCTCTTATGAAAGCATGAGTTGCTGGTACCTGAGCCAGAATATCTGGTCACAGAATAAAGGCCAAGGTTGCACACATTGACGTAGGTTGATGGCCATGTTGAAGAGCTACATTACGGGTTTATGTGGGATGAAGGCCCAATATGATGCAGGTTACTGGGAAAAAACAAGCATTGGAGCTGACAGAACATCTTGATAAATTCTTCACAGCTTCCACATCTGTCCAGGAGCCAGTGGGGTTGCTAGTAGGGCAGGACCTGCTTACTATTTAGGCAAACACCTGATTCATCACTAATTTTGAACAAGCCATTCATATAAGTTTTGCTATTTTGCCTTTTGTGCCCAGTGGAATCTGTTTTGGTATATAACTGAACTGTTCTTTCCGTGGTATGAATGTTGTATATGTATACTTGATCAGTTTAACTAAACTGAAGTTGTTGGGAATACACTGTTGTAGAAACTGTGTTGTACCACTGTCATATAACAAGAATTAATGTATTTGTGGTGTTCCCTTTCATGTTGGTTTGGATTTTAGTTGTAGAAATGATCCAAATGAGTAAGTTAGACAACATGGAATATCAGCTTCGTGTGGAAGGATTAGATGTGTACAGATGTGGTACAACAGCTGAACACAGCTATTTGGTGCTGACAGGCCAAGGGTCATGACTGAACCAAATCTGGGATTCAGACCCAGAAACCAGAGAATCCTGAAAACAAAATGGTGCAATTGGCTGCCATGGATTATGAGCTACTGCCCGGATTCTCCACTCGTTACGAATATGAAGTAGGAAGCAGCTTGGATCCACTCCAGCCATTGTTTTAATCCACTTTTTGTCCTCGTAATTTGTTTATGTAGATTGGAAGTGGAATTCTTAGGCAAATAAAAACTTTGGTCACAACAACAAACAATAATCATATTTTGATACTCCTGGAAAAACAAACCCATTTATAAATTGCTCTTTAAGAAATCTTTAAACAGTATCAAGTAAAACAGATTGGCACACATCAGAACCAGGTTTCACAAAGGTGGTCATCGGGGAATCAAACCTGGGATGTCAACACTGTCTACTGGGCTATTGTGTATGTATCCTTAAGATCATGCATTGTTTGTATAGCATCAGATGCTCATGCCATGGTAGATTGACATCAGGGTGTTTGCCTCTGGGACATGCACTGGCTCATGTGGTGTGGGACACTGCTGGTTTGTGTGTTAATATAGCACTAGATTATTGTGTTGTGTAACACTGTTTTTTTGTGTAGTGTGATATTCAATTTCAGATTTTTTTCTGCAGTATCATAATGAGCTAACGTGAGTTTGGTGTTACACTGCTTTAGCAATATTCCACCAATATCATAGCAGGAGACACCAGAAATGGGTTTCACACATTGTACCCATGTGGGAATCGTACTCGGGTCTTCGGCGTGATGAGTGAACACCTTAAACACTAGGCTACCCCACCACCCCCAATAATCTAAAGGACTGGATCATCTTTGAAGCAGGTAGATCTGTAGTTTTGTAAAGGCAAAGTTATGTTAAAATGTAATACAGTTGGATACCATACCAGTTTGATTAAAACCAGATCAACATTTCCTAATTATACCAGGAAGTTTTAGTTACGTAACACAAGAAGTTTATTGTCAAGTGTTCTTGGTAAGCTGGGTAATATGAACTCATTTGAGGACTGGTTTACAGAAAGCATTACACCCAGAAGTGCAGAATTACGGAAGTGGTATATGAAGGATCTACACTTGTGAAGCAGGACATGTGAGCAATAATTACGTTGCTGTGGTACAAAATGACATACTTCACACATCCTTATATGATATCGTTCAGTGATGACAAGCCAGGGATTAGATATGAATATGTGTGGACACCTGATGACACCCTCAAGGACTCCGTGTAACACCTAGGACACCCCAGGAACATCCAAGGACTATGATATGTACAGGTAAGGGGTTGTGGGTGGGTGGTATATAGTCATCCTTTACTGGGGGATGGATTATACATGTTGAGGGCATCCTGCATGTACATCATACTAGGTATGGCTGATTACACATGTTCAGGGAGCCATCACCAGACCCTAGTCAGATGATCTTACCAGTCAGACCCTTGGTAGTAATCACACGCCTCTTTGCTTGGAACAACAGGGAACAAAATATTAATCATATATTGTCAAATATTTCAGAAGTTACTTTTCCATATTTGATAAAGTTAACTTAGTTACCAATTAACCACTTTGCTTGGCATCAAAGACTCTCAACTTGATAGAATGATTTCCTCATCCAACAAGTGGGAGCATGCAATTAGCACTGATAGAAATTATCAAATAAAAATAGGTATAACGAAATGTCTAAATTTTATAAACATTCTTTTTTCATATTGTTTCAAATAAGCACATATAGTAACTTCAAGATGATGTCAAAGAATATGTTTAAGTTATCTTTACATGCAAGATTGATGATTTCAATGTTTTCATAATTAGTGTAAAGCTGTTGTTTGTATGGAGCACTGTTGTACAAACTAAATGTCACTGGCGGCAAAACTGATGACTGTAAGCCTGAACTGAAGCCACACAATGAGCTGTCACCAGACAGTATACCATCTCAACTTCTGCTGGGATTACACGATTACACATTAGGGTATCTTGTAAACCTCTGCATTAATGATCTGCCTTTATCGTTCGTAAATCTCAGATTGAATCAGGTAACATACGATGCTATCCAACACAAAACCATCCAGATAAAAACTTTAAATATGTATATGCTTGTTTAGCAACTTTCTGTCGAGTGTCAGCATATTTCTCCTCTTCAATTATGTGAATTTTTAATAAAATTCAAACTGTGCATTGTTCATTTTTTCGGAAACAGTAAGAGACGACCATGTTAAAGGTAAACACTTTAGGAACATGTTCACTATTGTGCTACTGACATCAGTACAGTGCTGTAATCTGCAGTGTCACTACTGGGTTAAGGTTTCAAACAGAAGGCTAGATCATTAACTAGATTTATCATAGCATTAGTAGGTCAGTACCTCAGTCAATTCAGCATATTCCGATCCTCAATTAAACAAACAGCATTCCTAAAGATAGGATTTTTGAATGTTTCTCCAGTTAGATATGACAGTTCAGTTGAAAATTGGGGATTCTGTAAATTCTGGCTGTATGTTGATGCAGTATGACTGGTATAAAGTCACTGTGGAGGGGTGTGGTGACCTGCACGCTACTCTGTGTGTAGCCTACTGACAATCAGACCAGCTCTTGGTGATTTGTAACCTTGTGGGTCCATTAAGTATCTCATCATGGGGTATGTTCAACACTCACAATTCTCAGACCACAGCCAGGGAACCCACATGGCAATTGACATGTCATTGTATGATTGTTTCATTGTCCTAATTTGGAGGGAAAATGTTCCTCTGTAATGGTGTTACAACAGTTCTTCTGATAATGATGTGCTAATATGCACCTAAAAGTTTCATTTGTGTAAACTCTGGCCTTCACCATGTTTCAAGAAGACTGATGGACTTTTGAAATATTTTGGCATTTTTAAAAATTATTTTCACCATTAGTTTTCATCTGGCTTCTTGGCTGTTTCTAAGAATGAACACCATTAGGTTGCTGCACCTTTAGGTAACTGTGACAGTACCACACACCATCGGGTTGGGTAGAAATTCAAATCTCTAAAACACTCCTATAAATGGCACTAAGTACTAAAAGCATGTGAAAAAAACACAAACAAAATGCACAAGCTCAAAACAACTAAATAACAAACCCCAAAAGCAGACTAAGAGTTATAATCAAGACCGTGCAAACTGAAAGTGATCTAGAAGAACAAAGCATGTGACCCCAGTAGAATGGGAAGGATATGGGTGGGATGGTTGGTTCATGTTGTCGTTCATTCCTTCTATACTCACTGTCAATGTCTGGCTTGCCTGACGGACAGAGGAGAGGAAAGGAGATAGGGTGAGAGCTGACAGCTGTATTCATCCCATCAGAAGAAGTAGAGAGAGTTAACCAATCATACTAAGCACTGCTTTCTTACATGGTTCAACAAAATGTTAACATACATCGTCATGCAAAACTTAGATACTCTGTGTGATCGACTCTGGAATAGCATACATGCTGTCTGCTGTAAACAACTGAAAATTTGATTTGGAAGAAAACTAGTGTGTCATCAGCAGTAGACAAATCCATCCAGTTTAAAGCAGACTATAAATACCAGAACTAACATATTTCCTGTAAACTTTTGATTTATTTCCATCAAACTTGAATGTTTCCTTTAATTCTTTATTACTATAGAAAAAATTGAAGGGACAGCTTTCTCTGTCGTCTTTTCAAAAAAGCATTCTAGACCATAATGTGAAGACACAAAAGGCAAAAAGATACCAAAACTATGTTGAAATTTATCAACTATAACTGTTAGCATACTAACTTAAGAATTCTGAAAACATTCTGAAGAAGGCTATTAAGAATACACTCACACACCATTATTTCACTTATATAGTCTTGACAGACAATGTAATTAAAATATTGTAAAAAATGTTTCAGTCCAAACTATGGTGTGTTGAAACTTGCAAATTAAATGATGTCAATCCTTTTTTCAGATTTTAAATATATGTTTCAGATGGATTTGAAACTCTAAATAGTACTTGCAATTATTGAAACTCAAACCTTACAAAACAAATCTGCCGTGTGAAGGAATTAATATGTGAATAATCATTGTGTTTCATAAACATAAAAATAAGTTTGTCGACATCAGTCAAATGAGACAGTAAACACAAAACGACACATGCTGCATTGCCAACATTCACAGTCCAACATATACGAAGAGGCCTTCAATACAGACAATACAGGTGTTCATGTTGAAAATACCACTGTGTGGACGAGGTCACACTCCTACCCATAGCATCACCACCTACATCACCTTGTCACTGGGTATTTGGCACAGCGAATGATGCAATCATTTCAAACACTTACCTGTGCATCTTCAGCAAGGTCTCGATCATTTCATATTAGACAAATGATAAATTTGGAATATATTACTATTGATCTTAATCTTGGTGTTCATCAGCAACATTTATGGTAAGTTTGGAAGTCCATCTTGAGATCAAGGTCACAGGTGCTCCTTCATATTTCCCTCTGTATTACAGGCTCACTTACAAATGAGTACGTCTTTGTAATTACTTGTTACATAAAAGCAACTTTTAGTAACTAATAAAATACTAAACATCAATTCTAGATTCTACTGACAATACAACACAGAGTAAATATTACAATGGTGGGTCAAACACACACATCTCATGGGTGACCTCGCTGGGGGACAGAAGACATGGTCTTTCCACTACCAATCACAATCTATTTAAAACTATACAAATTTTCTTTATTCAGGTCTACATAACCTTTCAACAAGAATGCAGTTGAAGTATTTAATGAACACGTGTTGATGGCAGCAAAGATGGCAGAGCCCTTGCTGTTCAGATAATAATCCATGTTTGTGTCTATGGGTCTGGTTTTAGAGTATACTCCAAGTGACCTCCACATGTCTCTTAACAATGTCTCGACATAACTGTCTCTCTGAGATCATGTTGTTCTGGTTGTTGTAGAAACCAATGTCTCGACATGCATTTTGAAGCGTCTTTGAAATCAGAGCCTGCATACTTCCATACATGAAAACATTCTTAACAAGTTTTTCATTAAATTTGGTAAAATAAAATGGCCTGATATCATGAGTTCATCCATGCTCACTGACCAACTATTTCTACTTCCATGTATGTTTCCTCTGATCCGTCTCACCCATGAGATGTATATGTGATTCCCCTATGAAAAATGAAAGAGTGTATTACTTGTGGACTCACTCTTAGTGTCCTCATCCTCGATGGTACTACTGTCGGTCGACTCCTTGATGCCATCATTCTTCTTCACATTCAAACTGCGGCCTGCAAACACAAAAACACACTCTATAAGCTATGGTTCAAACAGCAATGTTCCTGTCTCATGAATTGTGGTCACATTGGTTATGCAGTGCTCAAGGATTGCAACATTAACCTTGACTTTATAACATAAATCTTTTCCATTGTTTCAAAAATGTATATTGTAATTCTATCATTAAAATTTTTAATGTATAGCAAACCTAAAAACACCCAGTCTAACAACCTCTCAAAAGAACCTAGTTGTTAAACATTAATTTACTAATTATTTGAGGCAGACACTGAAACTGCAAAATCCATAATGACAATCCATATTTATGCAAGTTATTAGCATATAGAAAAACAGATATAGAAACATTATCACTACACTTTGTAACATCAACTCATGAAAGCACAAGACACCTTGTTATAGAGAAATACATGGCATTCAAACAGATCTTTACATATTGATGACTTCACTGAAAAAGTCAATGTTTCATGGAGTTTTATGAACCAACTCCATGCAAAATAAGCTTAAGAAAGTTATAAAGTCTCTCTAATAAACAATCATCATGATTAACATGTTGAACTCTAATCATATACATTAACCTGAATCCAAATCTCACTGCTGCCGAAAAATATTAATTCAAAACAATTCTTATATGTTCAGTCCTGAAAGTCAAAATATGCAGCTGCATGTAGAAAGAGGTTACATACAAACAAACAATGATAAGAAAAACAAGTATAGTTTCCAACAGTGTGACCTTGAACTACCATTCTACTCTGTACCATTTGGACCAATATCTGGCACAGCATATCTACGAAAGGTTACCTTTGAGGTTTTTATGGAAGAGATGTCGAAAGCCTGGTGGTGCTTGTCTCATTCTGCCTGAGGAAAATTCCATTACCAGGAGCACAATCTGACCAGCGAAATCTGTTTGTCACTCATCTGATGACGACATAATATGATCTGAGAAAGGCAAATCCCCCCAACGACCACGATGAAGACTTGCAGTGCCCACCTCTGTTTTCCCTTTCATTATCGCAAAGGCTAGCTAGCCCATTGTCATCTTGCCGACTGCCGCAATAAGGCGTCTATTGACAATTACTATATCACAACAGATGAAGAACAGGTGATCGTTGCTTGTTTGGGTTTAACCTTTCTCATTGGGTGACCATTGTGGTAGAGCAGTGGGAGATGTGACACCATCAGGGAGGTGTTGTAATTGCAGGCATACTATGCCACTAATGGAGATCAATGGAGCTGGTAACAAACCAGTTTTCCCCGCCAGTAGCGTCCCCAACATTGATTTCAAAGCTGAACACAACCGATGGATTCTAATATGACACTGTGGCCTGGTATCTCAACCTGACAATTTGTCAGCTCATGTGTCGTGACGTCATTATCTCCTTTTAGTGCCTCGGTTTTTCTGACACCCTTGAGGGTATCAATACTTGTAATGGATACAAAGCTTCACATTCCATAATCCCTTCATTATAACATAGGCTCCTCTGTGAGAGGCACGGAGACTTTGTTGTGTTGCTCCACAACCGGAATATGCTTTATGTTTTTACTGCTCATATATTTCCTCTGTCGTCTGGTAACATTCAAAACAAGTCTAAACATGTAAGCTGATTAATATTCTTAAGCAGAAGTTTCAAGATATCTTAAAATGAACTTTCTCTTGATATTACTTACATGACTATCACAGCAATTTCAAAAACAAACTTTCTTTCCAAATATTGACAAAAATAACTATCCCTTAATATTGTTTCTTTGAATCAGCATGAAAATCTTCAACTAATGACAATAGAGTTTTTCAACATACAACAAAATAATATTGTACTATACTGACAATTCAATCTAACATTTTAAACTTTTTTTAGTTTTACCAGCTATCTATGGGATATATTTGTTCACGGTTCACAAGACATGCTTTCAAATAATGGAAGTAGGAATTTCATTAAAGTTTATATTTCCACTGGAAATAAATGACTTCGAAACTAGTATTTGTAACTGATATCTCATGAGGTAAATAAACCATAAGTCATTTTGTAGATAATTACACTCTACCTGAACACTAAACAAAAGTTACTCTCAACAAGAGTCAAGGCAATGTCAACATAGCCATCAGTAAATCAGGCAGTTACTTGATATATAAAGTACTTATCTGCTAAATGTCAAATAAAGAAGTTCGTACTGAATCTGATCCTGTTCTAATAACTTTTGGAGATGTTTACAAGCTGACATTTAGCATGTATTAAAGGATATCTTTCTTCTGAGCCTTTCAGTGGTATATAAATGTCACATACATCTATTCCCCAAAAAATTATCTGCTGATGCTCATAACGCATGCAAATTTAATGGAATCACACATATAACGTCAGAAAGACAACCTTTACTCGGAAAGCAGATGGGGAGAAATTGGCAATTATGATTTTACTGAATCTGTTTCCGTTTTCTTTTCTGTACAACATATGCAGCATTAAAACGATGACTCAGAACTCCTCAAAAGAACATGTTGGACAAGGTAAAATCCACACTTTCTGTGAAAGCAAAACAAGAGGATGGCCAGACATTCCACCAATAGATGGCCAGACATTCCACCAATAGATGGCCAGACATTCCACCAATAGATGGCCAGACATTCCACCAATAGATGGCCAGACATTCCACCAATAGAATGGCCAGACATTCCACCAATAGATGGCAAATCATTGAAGCAGCAGAAGCAGCAAAGCCAAGACCCTGACTGACAGAACATCTGTGACCAGCTAAAATTATCCTTGCTTAGTGAACCAGGTGAGCTAACTGCCAACACTGCATGATCTCTCCAACACCAGAATTTGAAATAGCAAAAGAATGTTCAAGTTATCCTTCTTAAATTACATGATGCAGATTTCACTGATGACCCACACGTAAAATCCTTCATATTGGCCTTGAAGATATTTTTCACTCTGATCCTGATCTCTCTTCTGGTAATGATGAATTAAATAATATTTCTAGCAGTCCCAATGCAGATTGTTCTTTGCATGACATTAACTGTTGTTTGTATGCTGCCTGAACAAGTCATACAGTTTCCCAAGACAAAAAACCTCAGTCATCACAAGGACAACCAGTTTCAATGTAAACTCACAGAAACAAGAAAAAGACACATTGTAGACAGAACTTTGTTTACAATGATGTTCAAAACATCAAAAATTGATTTCGAAAAAATGTAAAACCAAAATACAAGTCCACAAAAGAAAGAATTCTCAATCAGAATACTGTACAGATTCCTTAAAGTCAAAGAATATGATCTGGACAAGAAGGTTAAGAATAATAATGTAGTTCTTCTGACACTCTGGACTATGCAGAACGCTACAGTGTTGGGGAGTCTGCACATTCCCTGCAAACTTCATGTTCAACTTTGCTTTATGTAGAATGGGCAAGGACACCGAGCTGATGATGAACCTAACCAACCTGCCTGGATCTTGATCACTCGAATCCTCTTTGCAGCATATATCTAACTCAATCTGTAAAATAATACTGATAAACAGCAATGCTGAATCAGCAGCTTTCCATCAGGGTAGTCACAGAATTAAAGGAGCCACCACAAAGAGACAATCTTTTGACATTTCTTTTCAAAAGGGAAGAAGAAAGATTTGACTTTTCAGAAGACAATTAAAGAGTCATACTGGCAGAAGCTGTTTACACCCACACATAATCCAGAAATATTATTAACATATCATTACTTGTCTCAAGAATACTCTTGTGTTCCAAACATACTGAAAGTAACAGAGCAAATCACTGGTCAGTATGCATACATTCTTGAGAGAGCTGACCATTAACAGCGATAATTGAATATAACTGTAGCACCAATCAGTCTCCAAGCCAGCCTCAACACAACCCAGAATCACCGCATCTGAAGGATCCTACGAACAGGCCATAATGGAACAAGAGATTGCTGGTGTTGACGCGCCAACACAATCATCTGCTATTCAATCCCACTATCATAGGTTTCTGGCCACACATAAGGGCATAACTCTGCACAGCAAATTCTAGAGTGTTAAATGAATGAAGAGCCAGGAAGGCAAGTGTTGGCTTCTACAAATGAATCCAGTATAAGCCTGACACTGAGGATGAGTATTTAAAGGTATGTAGGCAACCACCAAGAAGTATACTAAGATAGAAGCACAACTTATCAACAAAATAACAGTCCATTTCTTAATAAATACAGCAACAAGCGCCGTAAAACTGAACAAAGTTTCACACTTAAGAGTAAGCCTATCCTCACGGTTTAAGTACATCCCTCATTGAAAAGTAATGTGTCTTCGGACATGTCTGTTGTGTTGAAACATAAATTGAATAAATTACAACAACGAAAAGAGCTCAGCACCAATTGCATAGTGGTCTTAGCTCTACGGCACAATATAGGGGTATGAAAGTTACCATAAGGCTCGCAGCAATGCACTGGAAGTGGACTTGAAATGATGTGTATGTTGTGCACCCATGGTTGATAGCATGAACAAGCTATGGCTTAAGGGCATGACTTAAGGTATGACTTAAGGGTACCACACCATCCTGATCTCATTAACAAGCATCAGCTGTCAGTATCATACAGAATACATAAAAAGCAAGAAAGCAAAGCACACGCTCCTCGATCTATAATCTTTACATATGTAGCTGACCTTTGAGTTGGCATGAAGCACACTGTCAGTCAAAACATGATCTTTGAAGGAATAACGCAGCAAAATCATGAAAGGTTACCCTTAATTCATTCATAAAACTACTGCCACATTGGGTCCAGTGTCATTAGACTGAAACATGAAGAAACTCAACTAGCTTACGCAGCATTTAATTTGATTCAATATCAATTTCTTTGGATCTTGTTATTTTAAAGGCACTTCTCTAAAAGTCAAGGAGTGCATCAGACCAAGAGGATAGAATATAGAAAGACTACTGTACAGGGATCGTTGATGCTGATGGTCATTGGAAACTGTTGCCATGGTGATCAGTCTGGTGTTAACCAGTAATATGACCTGTGCTGAGAACATACAGAGATTACCTGAGATGGATACAGTTAGTTATACCACTGGGGATTCAGTAGATGTTAGTGTCTGTATCATGTTCAGTTAGCCACTTTAGATGGCAAACTGTTCTATCAGGTTGAAACAATCGCTCTTGAAGCAGCAATGGAACACTGTTTGGGCATTGAAAACAAATGAACACCTCCATTTGCACTATATGCATTCACTGTAATGTACACTGTCCACACGAATGTGAACAAACATGGAAAATTGTTCAAGAGATTTTTGTGTTTAGTCGTAAGCATAAGCAGTAAAGTCTCAGTTCCTGAATTTTCCAATTCAGTGTCTGTATGTCCATCGCATGAGTGTATAGAAGAACTGTTTCATCTTTACATAGAAACTAATGATGCCACACAGAAATATGCCTAAACCTCTGACATTCACCTTACAGGTGGCATTAACCCTGCTGCAGTTTTAATGCTTTGTACACACTCTTACAGCAACACTCGACAAGCAGATTGCTTGCAAAATCAGTGTGTTACAATACCCAACAGATGCTTGGAAAGACATACATTAGTGAATTAGGACTTTGGTTTATGATACTGCTTTCAGAAAGAACAGAGTAAACGTTTCATACCATGAAAAGACTGATAGAGAAAATCCAAAGTTAATATTTTGCACACCTGATATGACTACTGTGCATCATGGGGAGGCTATTCGTGTCTGGGACTCAGTTTACATACCTGTTTCTGATGCCCGGATCAATCCTGCTGTCATACAACAGCGGAGCACAATTAAGGAAATATTGCATTTCTAAAGCTGAAACTAACCACAGTGACATCAGGATAAGAAAGGAGAGAAGGAATGAAAGTAACACACAGTAGTTTCTTGTCTCAGTGCTGATTACTGCGATGTACAGAGCAACACTTCAACTATAGAACACGGCAGCAAGCAGAATAAGGGAACAAGACAACCTCCACACATATCAGGTGGAATCAGTGTAATGTAACAAGACCTACGCCATCTTGTATCACTGACACTAAAAGTCAAGTTCAAGGTCACAATCAGGTCAAGGTGAAAGCTCAAGGTTAAAGCTGTCTCGGTACAAACTACACACATTCATATCCCCATGTTAAGACAACATGCATTTTCTGTTATGCAAAAAACAAATTCTTCTGTGTAAATGTCTCTGAGGTCCATCACAATTCCTGAAAGGTCAGGGTCATTGCTAAGGGCAAGGGGAGGCAATCCAGGAAAGGCAAACTGGTCAAGGTAGTAACTGAATTGTTCTGACTGACAGTGGAGTGCCACACATACAACACTACTACAGGAGTACACAGCTAGCGGTTTGTCTGGTGCGGCCACACAACATGTCAGCGTGACATGGCCATGACGAATAGACTCACGCACGCATGGACAGACGAACGTACCTGCAGGTGCTGACACTTGCGAGCCATTCCCCACTGGCTGAAGCACATTACCTAGTTGACAGAATCAGCCAATCAGTAAGACCACCTACACTGATGACGGAATTGAGGGGAATCACAGTTTCTTTTAAAGAAAGACTGGTCAAACAAAAGGTTTGTTCATATGACAGTGTTTTGACATTTTTGACAACCAAATACATGGTTTTGTAGAAAATATGTGACAATTCCCTCAATTCCGGAAACACCTTAGTCTACTGACCGTCCTGGTTCTTGGCATTAACCAAACTTGTCTGTGCATCAGTCTCTCACGTGTTGCACGTGCAGAATTAATGCATGCAATACACACAGATTAACACTACATACAGTTTTATACCATACAGGTGTTATAACAAAGGCTATAACTTTCAAAATAACACACCATAAAATTATCATAATTATGCACCAGACATACTGATATCCTTCAAAAGTATTCTTGTGATATAAAATTAGTCATATCATGCAAAAATGTAATTTTTCAAAAATTATAATTAAATATCCAGTAACAAAACTGCAAAAAACAAAACAACATAAACATATTTTGAAAAAGTTTAAAATTTCAAAATGAGTTAACAGACAAAATGTTCATGAACAAATGAATGGCAAATACATTAAGGTGATTTACAACAACAGAACATTTAGATGTTTGACTTCCAGTGAATCTTGGCAGTAAGCTTTATCTCGTCTTACTATAAGGCTACAAATAACAAGAAAAGCTTAATGAAATCATCAAAAATGAATAGTCCTACTACCAACTTCAAATGCATGGTTAAATTTTGTCAGTTTAGAAAAGCCATAGAGGATTATTTTTTTCAATACCAAGTTTGTCCCAAGTAACACCTTAACATTTGGTGACAACACAAAGAACAAAAGACAACACAGAAATGAAGAATAACTTCAAAGTGTGACAAAATTGTTCACTGTTAGTTTAAGAAAAAATGAAGACAAGCATCAAGATGGAAGAACTTTTAAAATTTTGTTTCCCTAATTATATTGTGTTGCTTAAGTGATATATTGATATTTTTAACGCTTTGATTATTGTGGATTTTAGTAATATGAAGCTAGGGTACAGGAGAACTTTCACTGAAGAGGTACTGTCTCTCTGTGCAATGAGAAGACTTCCATGCCTTGTGGACTGAGGAACACGAAGAGCTCTAGGAGGGAAAGCAGGAGGACACTAACAGCACTAAATATACAGCTCAAAAGCAGTTAAGGGCTGCCAGATATTTTCATATTCCTACAGATAATATTCCAAGCCATGACAGATCAACTATAGTATGCCAGATCAACTATAGTAATATGCCAGGCCATGACAGACCAACTATAGTAATATGCCAGGCCGTGACAGACCAACTATAGTAATATGCCAGGCCGTGACAGATCAACTATAGTAATATGCCAGGCTTTGACAGATCAACTAAAGTAATATCAAACAGGTAGTCGTTGGCTTCATTTGGAGTAGTATTTATTCCTAGATTTATCAGGCTGGTAAATAGAAACAGGCACATGTTCATCTTCAACATTTGTATATCATCCTCAGGTGTCATTGTAATGACAAACAAAAGTCAGATCACTGTCCAAGCAAATCAATGGTACACTGACACAACATGAAGACAGACAAACCATACTTAAAAACAGAAGGTGTAATGGGGTTTAAGGTGGCACTACTGCACTTATATAACAACATGCAAGTGTAAGTATTTCAACTTCTGGGCAGGGTATGGGACCCTATCTGCTCAGAAGAAAACAACTTTCCAAAACTGTAAATACAGCATGTAAAATCATTGACATCCCTTTACCAAATATTGGCAGCCTGTTCAAGCATGAAGATCCTAAAAAAGCATGTATATTAATACATGACTGCTCTCATGTTCTTGTCTTTGACAATACCAGTTATCTTTTAATCTTTTTAATCAGTGACCTTCTGGTCATTGTCCGCCAATGCCAATATTAAACAACAAACGGGGACTGCCAGGCTTTAATATCAGCCAGTAATCAATGCTTCTTATCAATGCAGTGTTTAAATTTGCACTTTTGAAGTTCTTAATTTTACCTAAATGATATGTATATTTTTTCTTACACCTTGCTTCTGCTTGTAGACTGCTACGTTTTAATGACTATACGTAACTGTGATTTGTTTGGTTGTCTGTTCATGCATGTATTTTAGTGATGTCTGTATTCCATGTTACATGCATGTACCTTATGCTGCAAGACAAATGTCCTTGCTGTTTGTACTAGCTTGGTCTGACACTGGCTTAATACTGCTCGGTATGCCATGTTTAACATAGACACTCTACTCAGACCCAGTGTACTGAATTAGAGAGGACCCGTTTTCCTGACATCCTCCTACTGCTGACAGCCAGCCAGGCACACAAGTACCATCTTTCAGCATCACTTGGCTTGATACTAAACCACATGATCTATCCCTTAGACCTTAACACAAGTACCATCTTTCAGCATCACATGGCTTGATACTAAACCACATGATCTATACCTTAGCCACAAGTACCATCTTTCAGCATCACATGGCTTGATACTAAACCACATGATCTATCCCTTAGCCACAAGTACCATCTTTCAGCATCACATGGCTTGATACTAAACCACATGATCTATCCCTTAGACCTTAACACAAGTACCATCTTTCAGCATCACATGGCTTGATACTAAACCACATGATCTATACCTTAGCCACAAGTACCATCTTTCAGCATCACATGGCTTGATACTAAACCACATGATCTATCCCTTACCATGCATCACATGGCTTGATACTAAAACCACATGATCTTGATCTATCCCTTAGCCACAAGTACCATCTTTCAGTACCATCACATGGCTTGATACAAACCACATGATCTATACCTTAGCCACAAGTACCATCTCTTTCAGCATCACATGGCTTGATACTAAACCACATGATCTATCCCTTAGCCACAAGTACCATCTTTTCAGCATCACATGGCTTGATACTAAACCACATGATCTATACCTTAGCCAGCCACAAGTACCATCTTTATCCACAGCATCACATGGCTTGATACATCTATCCCTTTAGCCACAAGTACCATCTTTTCAGCATCACATGGCTTGATACTAAACCACATGATCTATCCCTTAGACCTTAACACAAGTACCATCTTTCAGCATCACATGGCTTGATACTAAACCACATGATCTATCCCTTAGCCACAAGTACCATCTTTCAGCATCACATGGCTTGATACTAAACCACATGATCTATCCCTTAGACCTTAACACAAGTACTTAACAGCATCACATGGCTATACTAAACCACATGATCTATCCCATGGCTCTTTCAGCATCACATGGCTTGATAAAACCACATGATCTATCCCTTAGACCTTAACACAAGTACCATCTTTCAGCATCACATGGCTTGATACTAAACCACATGATCTATCCCTTAGACCTTAACACAAGTACCATCTTTCAGCATCACATGGCTTGATACTAAACCACATGATCTATCCCTTAGACCTTAACACAAGTACCATCTTTCAGCATCACATGGCTTGATACGAAACCACATGATCTATCCCTTAGACCTTAACACAAGTACCATCTTTCAGCATCACATGGCTTGATACTAAACCACATCATCTATCCCTTAGACCTTAACAACGTTTCAAACTGACAAAGATTTGTCACTTTCACTATGATTATGTCTATGGGTCCATTTTTTTGTAAGTTCAGACCCATGCCGATGCATATTTGATGGTATAAAGCATTGATAACTAAAAATATTACTTTAACCTTGCTTGTTGTATAATGCCACACTCAGCAATATTTGAGCTACATGACCACAGACATTGTAGACTTCAGGGTATGATATAGCCACCCTCATGCTGCAAGGACTCATTCACCTGTGTAAGGATAATATGTATATTTATAATACACCAAATTAATATCCTAAGACATGCTCAAAGCCCCAAGCATAACTATTCTAGTCAAGGAATCGGTGTGCAGTCCAGTTCTAGTCGCAGCTCCCATTTTGTATACATCCATACTGCTTGTGAGGTGTCAGAAGGTTATCAAGTCACTCTATCATCCCATCCTATCGGGTACCCATTCACTGCAGGGTAAACACAGGCTTATTTCTAACAAAGTCACTTGCCTAAGAAACCATGTGTTTTTTCAAAATGTGTCTTACAGCTTTCAAGAATGTGTCTCCCAGGATTCAAGAATGTGTCTTCCAACATTCACAAGCCAGTGCATGGTTTGCATCCCAGCAGCTATGAAACCATGTTCATGATATTCTTACGACAGGGTGAGTACGTAAATGATTCTAAGCCACTTTCAGTATTATTCCACCCATATCGAGGTGAGGTGAAATTGGGTTTTATGTCGTGCTTGAGAATATTTCGCTCATATGACGACGTGCATGCGTATGTATGTGTATGTGCGGCTGCTTGTACTAGCCCAGATTAAGCTGGTTTTGTAGTGCTAGCCCACTGAGATCCCATGCTGCAGTGAAGCATGAATACCCCACTCAGACACATTATACGACTCCGAGACGACCGGTCCTTGTTGTACCCATTAATGCCGAACGCCAGGCAGGAACCAACAGGTACCATATTTTAACATCTTTTGGTATGACGCGGTCGGGGATCGAACCCGCGACCTTCCGCTCTCCGGGTGGATGCTCTAACCACTACACCGCGGAGGCGGTCCCACCCATATCGAAGTAGGGGATAACACAAATGATTTCACACAATGTACATGTGTGGTAATCAAACCCAGAACTTCCGCCAGACAAGCATATACACTAAACACTAAGTAGCCCCACCACCATGTAACAGGTCAGCAGATGTGCTGCAGACAGGAAACCTAATCATATATTAATGTCATACACAATCATACATCAGGGCAGTAAGCTCAAGAGAAGAGATATTTTGTAAATGTTGGCTTCTGACCTGAGCCTTGAAACCAGACACACTAACACGTTCTTGTCTAACCATTTCTGTTTCAACACACATATCTCCAGCTAGTATTTGCACTACATTTCACCTGAAGAAATGACTTTTCTGATAGCTAGATGTAATGAAGTAATTTCACTGCTCTAGAGATCAAAGGACATTAGTTCAATATGGTTGTGAGAAAAACATACACAATATTACCTTGATTCTCCTGATAAACATTCTGGTAATGCTGCCATTGTTTCACCCAAGAGACATATAACAACATGTTAAGAAAGTCACAGTGATATAAACTGAACAGAGAAGAGTTCAACTGTTCATTCACAAGCTTCACAGTCTAATCTACCACAATAACGAGCTGCTTCTACCTTGGAATCACATCTGACACATAATGGCTAATGAATGGGACCACTCTGTTGCCATACGTCACCAGACACTGACTTCCATTTATTAGAATTTACGAAAATAGATGAACACAAGGACAAAAATTCACAGGGCTACATTTCTTCCTGAAAACATTTTTTCACCCTTCTCATGAAGTGTTCCCAAGGAGACAAAAGTTTCACTGAGTAGTGGAACATTTAAGGTAAACATGGGTTGAGTTACCTGGAGTTGGTGCACTGTGACTTGGGAACATGGTGACTGACATGGATAACTGTAATCGTGTCGATATATTATCATTTGTGTCAGACAGTCCACAATGCTTATAGATAAGATGTAAACACTTCAAAAATCTGCATGCCCCTTTAAAATGACCGGTTAAAGCATCTAAATGCAAACATGCACAAACAATTAAATAGGAAAAGTCTGATTGTACAAATCTCCCACCAGATTCGTGTGGTAAGAGTGGAAAATTGAAGCAACTGAACATAGGTGACAATGTTAGAAACCATAACAGATAAAATGTATTAAGATATTAGTCAGACCTTGTCAAGACATAGAAGAAGTTTAGCAATATTTTATTCTATTGCATTTAATATTTGTTTCTGAAGTATCATGTTAAGATATTCAGGTTTTTAAATTCAAAGTCTAATGAGATTTCATGTAATAATATTGATTTGTGGTTCTTTCAGAATGAAAGTAATGAATAAACTGTCTGCATTACTCTGAGATATTGTAACTCTATAAATAATACACTTAAACACAATACGCATAGCATAAATTATATAAATGAATCCAGCAAGTGCTAAAGTCATACAAAATACTATCTACCTACTGACTACTCTTAGGAGAGTTAAATATTCGTCTATGACAATATATTTCCAATTTAATACAAGAAAATACAGATAGTATCTGATGTATGTTAACCAGCAATAATATTCAACATGACAAAATGTTACCATCCATTACCTCTCCAAGAACAGAATACTCAAACAAAACGTCATTCACATATCATTTTCTGAAGAACAAAGCACTTCCCAAGTGAAGTTACAGAACAAACAAGTCATAGTCATATTATAAAACAAGTCCTCTTTAGCTTTTTTTTACGAGCATTTTTCAGTTATTGGCAGATTCAATCTTTCAGAAAATATGCAACATGCAGCGTATGTATTGTATTGGACACAATCTATTAAAGCAACTGCCACCGACAAGTATATATACTTTGTTTCATAAATCATAGAATTGTTAAAAACTAGTACAACCAGGGTCTACTGGGGAAACGTTTCTAAAAGGAATTTTAAGGAAAATGTTACAAAGAAAGTGTATGCAAAATTATCTCACCAACACGCCGTGTATAGGAAAATATTACCAAGATATAGCCATATTCCCTGAGTGGGATTATCACAAATAGTACACCTCATAATAAATACTGGTAACTGACTTGCTGAGGTTTTACTGTATTGACTGGTTAAATCATTAATTCTACCGGAGTCTAATTGTGTATTCATACAAGGGTCTGGCTAATTGGGCTGATGACCCAGAATAAATTAAGGATAAGATTATAAAATTCAGTTGACTGAGCACAAGAAGACATGTCATTGCATCAACAATTGCCAGTAAAAGGAGGACAATATATATGTATAAGCTCACTGAATACGTGCTATATTCATCAATAGGAAATACATAAACTGTATGATTATATAAACTACTTCAGACAAAATCAACAGTTTAGAGATGTAAGTATGTTCTGTATACTTCATGAACATGTAAAAGTTGATAGCAACATCAAAATACATTATTAAAGTTATCAAAACCATTTGCTTCAAATACTTTCTTTACATGAACACTTTCTAATGATGTCTACATGATTCTTCTTACATATCTCTGTAAACATGCCTCTTTCAAATTCTCTACCACCTTCTGCTCCCATTGTTTTTACCACATATGGGTGATAGAAAATAGAACAACAAATATCAATAAGTCAAAAAGGTAATTGGTAAGTTATCTAAAGAAAGCATGCAGTAAATAAGTTCAATAAGTATGAACAATAAGATTATAAAGGAATCTGCAAAGATGAGAAATTAGATAAATTGAAGTTAACTGACAGTCGTACAAGTATTTCACAAGTTGGGTTGATTCAAAGCAAATCCTGACCCTCCATGAGATCCTGACTGACCCAGGACGTAGATATTTAGTACAAAGATGTAACCTAATAATCAGGATGAATCAGTGTGTGTACCAACAATCAGCACATCCTGACAACCAAGGGACACAACTCAGTATGTCATAGATTTAAATACACAATTACTCTTTTTACTTCAGTCACAACATTGTTGTAAACATAATCAATCTATTTCTTACTAAGTTATCTTCAGTATATGTTGTCAATAACTTAAAGGTTCACCTACATACTAATACTACATAATATATTATGAATTTCGTTATATTAGACACATTTCTTTTCTGCCCTTTTATATAAACGTTATATAGTAAGAAGTCCTATTATCTGTGAACTACCAGAGAAAGAAAGTCTAATATGGCATGGACATTCACAAGCTCAACAAGATAATGAAATGTCATTGATAAAAATGATGTAATCATACTTGAAGTCGAAGTCATATGAACAGTAATGGCTATTTGTTGAACCATTAACTGGACTTGTCAGGTACATGTGAAACAGTGATGTGAAAACTGACTGATATACACATCAGTGGCCTCTCAGATATCTCACACGTCTTTTCTCAACCATCTCTGCAATATATGCCCCATATACCTTTCAGATGAAAGAAAAACAATACTACCTGCATTGAACAGTGATCTGACAATTCCTATTTCAAAAAGCCTACTAAAATATGAAGATTCATAAAAAATACCACCCTGGTAATTAGACTACAAGAAGAAAGAGTAAAGAAAGGCAATGCTGAAAGTCTAGCAACTGTGTGTCATCCATAGATACCGTTGACTTAATTTGACTTCAGATAAATATCATTTCAAAATTAATGTGTACCTTGTTTTTACCTGAACTAGATCAATGCACCTAGGTATCATGAAGTCAGGGTTCATCTCCAGTAGCTATGGTGACAGTTGACATCTAGAGTCTACCTACAGTGCCATGCTCATGCACAGAGTGAGAAGACTTACCTTTGTTTACTACAGCACACAAAGACAGCACAAAAAAACAACAAGAGTACACATTATCTACACTGGCGCCAGTCCATGCTGACCAATCAACAGAAGCTATAGAGTAGTCGTGAGATACGTATATCATTAAATACACTCATACCAGTGAAGCCAAAGTGAAGTTACGTGGAGTACAGCATGGTATTACATACATAAGCACACGATAGAGTATCTGTGCTGCTTCTCAGAGAACGTTTGTCAAGATAGACTTATGATATTACAGTATGACATGAGTATGACAGGCACAGTATTACTTACAATACACATGTAGCACATATATAGCAGAGCCAGAGATAGCTGACAGGTCAAGAGATGAAGGTATACCAAATATCTGACCACACCTCTCTGACGAAAGGGAGGTGATATATACCAATATTTACAACTACACATGTATAAGCATGGTTTCAATGGAGATTACACTTGTCACAATGTGGAAGACAGTTAATTACAGTTGGCATGCAGTACTGGCAAATTCAAATGTTTAGCAAAGGGAGGTAACTATGTCTGCATAAGTATCTATGTCAGGTCAGAGTTTGGTTGCAGGCTGAATCTAAAAGTGAAAAGCTACCAATATGAAATCAAACTAACCACCCTCGCAAACCATATGCATGATGCTTGAGCAAATCTAGCAGAGCAACAAAGGATTCATTTTCCCTTCAAAATGTCAGCACTATTTCAGTCTTTTCATGAGAACTAAGAAGCGACATGCCACTGCAATTCGTCACTGCATCTACTAAAACAGCACACATACTTCAATGTTTTTTTGTTTGATTTAATATTTTTAAACTAATATAATCATTATAATTTGGGGGGCTTCATGAAAGTTCTTGAGAGAATTAACATGTCATGTGAGTGTACCAAATTGTTTTCTTAGAACAGGAACATTCTGTTAATAACTATCAGTACATTCCTTCTTTGGTATCCTTAATCATATGATTCTGAGCAAAAATGGCACTATGAGGTGAGGTGAAATTGGGTTTAACGTCGTGCTTGAGAATATTTCGCTCATATGACGACATGCATGCTTGTGTATGTGTATGTGCGGCTGCTTGTACTAGCCCAGACTTAAGCTGGTTTGATAGTGCTAGCCCACTGAGATACCATGCCGCAGTGAAGCATGAATACCCCACTCAGACACATTATACTGACTCCTAGCCGACCAGTCCCTGTTGTACCCATTAATGCCGAGCGCCAGGCAGGAACCAACAAGTACCATATTTTAACATCTTTTGGTATGACGTGGCCGGGGGTCGAACCCGCGACCTTCTGCTCTCCGGGCGGACGCTCTAACCACTACACCACGGAACGGTCAATGGCATTATGAGCACAACATACATGCTCAATGGCTGCTTCTTTGTCAGTGTACAAATTTACTAGTACATTTTACAGATCTCATGGCCAGCACCATCCATGTAATGACACAGCTTCACAGTCCATATAGTCCATCATTTTATGCAGAACATGATAGGACATTTAAAACATAACTGAAAACCCCCTGCCGATCCTACCGTCTTTGTAAGCTGAAACAATGTGACATACGTACAACCAGTTGAAGCCCAGGAAATAAGAACATTTCATACCTGTATATTTGTTTTCTTGTAAATTTTAATTTATGGTTCATGGATAGGAATACATATTTCCTGAGAAACAAACTTACTTCTACATGACCTAATGTACTCGTATCTTATCCCAATTGTACCAGGACTGACTATCCAACTGATAACTTCCTTGTTTCCTATCTCAGCACACCCACACCAACACCCACACACAGAGGTGGAGGTTATGTACAAATTGTTTGGTTGAAGTCTATCGTAACTGTATTGGAGAGTTCTTCTTACAGATTGTAGTGCAGTTATAGTTTATCATGTTAACGTTTTAAATCATTTTAATGAAATTATCCCATTCAAATGGTTGGTGAGAAGTATGAAAACACACTGATATATAACCAAAACAGAAAATTATGTACCTGTAGGTCAAACAACTAAATATTGTTTTGTACACTATAGTAACTAATACCTACACCAAATGAGTGAGAACTGAATGTAATTTATTCATGTATTCCAAGCCCCATAACTCACATCACCTAATTTCTTCACGTCTTATTGTCTGTTGGAAGAGTGGAATAACTTTGCTACTATTTAGAAGTAGTACATGAGAAAATGTCAAGGTTGCAACTGCTCTTGGGAAACACTGAACGGTGGTGAAAAGGATGTTTAGTTCCTGACAACTGTTGGGATCATTGTTAGGGTGTGGTTTATTCCAAGATTGTTAGATTACAACATGTGATGAGGTTAACGACAACAACACAGGTGATGACGCATGATGAAGTTGTTAGTGAGTGAGTGAGTGAGTGAGTATAGTATTATGCCGCACTCAGCAATATTCCAGCTATATGGCAGCGGTCTGTAAATAATCGAGTCTGGACCAGACAATCCAGTTATCAACAGCATGAGCATCGATCAAGCATGGGTTGCTGAAGATGAATATTCTAACCCGGACCTTCACGGGTAAGTTGTTGGTGGGATGGTAAGCAATTACCTGGATAAGCTGAATGACAGATGTTGCAATGAGTTCTGAATGACAGTAATGTTACAGTATGTTGGATTGTGTATGTTACAGTAGATGTTATTGTGTTACAAGGTGTTGGAATGAATGACACAATGTGTTAGGAACAAGGGCAATGATATCACAATGTGTAAGCCTGACTGACACAATGTGTTAGGAACAAGGGCAATGATATCACAATGTGTAAGCCTGATTGACACAATGTGTTAGGAACAAGGGCAATGATATCACAATGTGTAAGCCTGATTGACACATAACAATGTGTTAATTTAGGTTGAATGACAAGAATAGTACATCATGTTATGGGGAATGACATGAATATGTTACATTGTGTTTTGTGGAATGATGTGAATGATACACTACACTGTCAATAACAAACTGCAGCCAGGCCAAATATCCTACTGTTGGAGAATAGCTTGAATATTTCCCTACCTGCAGTACTTTAAGACAACATGCTTCAAGAATAATGGGTACAAGAATTATATTAAGTTTCAGAGATAGTGATGGCTCTTCAGATTTCAAGTGACTGTATTTATTAGTCATGCCTGACCCGTAATGATTAGGCAACCTAATCTATTTTTCTAGGTAGAACAACTAACTTTTAATAATCAACTTCACAAGATGAAACGTCTTTTAAAAAAGGATAAAAAATATCCATATATCTTTTAATTACGAAAATAATGAATTAACAAATACTAAATGTTTAGTAAATGCACTGAAACAAAGCTAGTTGCTAATATCATATGTCACTAACAATTTTGCTTTACAACTGTTGCACCTAATCAACAGCTACTATGGTTACAAAACACTAAGCTCATTGTTGAATTAATGACAGTTTTCAGGACATAAATGCTAGTTGACAATGACTGTTAAGCGTGAAAGCAAGTGAAAGCTCCAGTGGACAGACGCAATGCAGACAACATTTGTGTGACCAATGTTACAGACATACTGCCACGGTATTATTAGGTGACCAGTAAGTGAGATCACGCAGACCAACTGTTCAGCTCCATACAAGTGATCAGAATCCACCCACTCATCTCAACAAATACAATGTATCAAACAAGCTGCACTTACTTGAGAAGTTTCGTGTGGCCAACATAGTGGTGAGGATAGCTCCCTGAAAGATTAAAAATGGAATTTTACCAACAGCATGAAGAAGACATCTACAAATTGAACTTAAAGTTTGATAGTCATGAGTTCATTTCTACTTGGTCTCGTAATCATTTACACATTGGCCGCAGCAGGGGAGGAGAGAAATCATCAGTTATGCCATGTCGACTAAAGTGAACAACATAAGCTGCTGCTGAACCTCATCGTCAAGCTGGGCTGGCTTCACTAAGAGACCGCCATGACATTGTCATAACAAATAATACTGCTAATCAATAATGTGTTTAACAGCAACAATACATTTTATGCTACCTTGCCATTATTACAATATCACTGGATCAAACATCAACAAGTGCTACCAGTTCATTACATAGGGCAAAGGAAGCCTTTCTGATCCTATATAAGTGTGTTGAAATTGCTGTTTAGCATCATCATTTGGCTGAAAGATCTTAATTCAATATTGCATAGGTACCTTAAATTCAATGATGTCATTAAAATTAAGTATTCAAAGTACTTATGAAACCTGAAGAAATTATATCTTTGATTATATATAACAATTTGCAGTGGCAAAAATGTGATAACATATGGCATGCCAATACAAGCAATGTAATATGACTCAATATAACATGGACAATAGTGTAGTATGCATGACCTCAGATTTTGTTAATGACAGAGTACATTACCAGTAAGCAAATGAATAATAAACAGTCATATAAGTCCTGTATTTGAGAGGTTGTAGTGTGAGCAAAATGTTCACAAATAACTCAGGATCATAATACCTCTTCCGTTCTGCCTTCCTGAGACCTATTTGCAATTAAGTCCTCTTCATTATGCAAAAACCATTCATTATCACTATCTTCAAAAGACAGTCCAACCTTCATCACATGTACAGTACATAAATCCCCAATCTCTCCTTTGCTTATAGTCTCCATATTGTCCGCCAATTCACTTAAGACTGTTGGTATCACTCATCAGCAAATGGACACACGTTTTGTGTGTGGGTTGTGAGAAGGGTGTTGTAGGTTGTAACGGTCACCTTCACCTGCCATAATTAGTGTACGCTTCCTATTAAAGTCATTGTTGCATGTCAAGCACAGACTGAGCTTACACCATAGGGTGGCCTGCAAGGAAGTATGTTCCCTCCAGTCTTCTTTATAACAACAGCATAAGTATCACTATATCTTAGTCAGTGGTCTCATGGGTTGAAGGCTGATTTATCGCATGCCATGAGGCAAACACAAAACAAATATTTGTTTTTTGTCTGATGCACAAAGTAAGCGGCATATCTTTGTTCTTAGAAAGACACAATTTATTGAATTTATGAATGATGAGTTCATTTTTAATATTTCTTTTAACAGCTTTTTATAGCTAACCTATGAAGAATAGTAAATGAGCAAACAAGTATGTTTTTTTCAGCAATATCGCAGTTGAGGAAACCAGAAAAGGGCTACATATGCCGGAATCAAACCTTAGTCTTTGGCATGAAAGGTGAATGCCTTAACCACTAAGCTACCTAACCCACACTATGTGGGAAAGTGACGTAAGTCTTTGACCTTAAAGATCATACAGATAATGCTAACCAACCAAGAGTGAGAGAGTTTAACACCACTTTGAACAGTGTTCCTGTCGTATCACCTTGTGCCAGCTACATGTGGGAGGAAAGCCTGAACTGATACAGGCATGGTGCAGACAAACTTACAAACATAATAGGGGCAAACTGAGATTCAAACCCATGAACAAACATTTCTGGACAAGGGACACAACTCTTCACACCAAATTGCAGTTCCTCAGAAGACTGGGCAAGATGACCATGGTCCATCGATGGATCAACATACCATGAATGTGGGCAACTACACTTGTCTTGTCTACTCTAATGAACATTAAGATTATGTTTTCATACAACTGTGACTGCATATTCAACACTCAGTTATGTAATCTTGCTTATGTTGTGTATTTGATAGTGATTCCTGCACACTGTTACTGTGTGATCTAATATTGTACCCACTGCACTGATACAGGTGATTGAGTAATAATAAAGACACCATGAAATAATTTGTAATAACTCTGATTATGACTTATTCCTCTTTAATGGTTTGTTGACGTAAGTGAGTGAGTGAGTGAGTTTAGTTTTACGCCGCACTCAGCAATATTCCAGCTATATGGCGGCGGTCTGTAAATAATTGAGTCTGGACCAGACAATCTAGTGATCAACAGCGTGAGCATCGATCTGCGCAATTGGGAACCGATGACATGTGGTCAACCAAGTCAGCGAGCCTGACCACCCGATCCCGTTAGTCGCCTCTTATGACAAGCATAGTCGCTTGTTGACTTAACATTCCAGCCGTATGACGCCGGCTTGTGAAGTCAGTTTCAGTAATATTTAGCAAGCTATCAACCAATCACTGATTCTAACCATCGGATTAATTCATATCGCTACTTTGTCAAGCATTGGGACCAATTTAACACAGAAATCCCCCTTAAAAAAACAAACAAACAAAAAAAACAAAATATCCAACCCAAAACATGGGCATGCTGTCACTTGTCATAAGTGACTACGTGCCCATAATTTGCAATTTGCTGATGGTCTAATTTGCTGTGATCTACTTTTACAGTAAGTCAAATAACAGTATGTTGAGCTAACAGTCGTAAAATAAAATGATCATAAAAATGTCCTTTGCTTTATAGCTGTAACTAAGCCTTACCTGAAAATAGCCTTATCATAAACTACAGACATAACTCCTTAGCAGACAGTGGTGTTATACAGAGGACCCGAAGTTTGCCACACTGACCCTGGGTTATCAGGGAGTACACAGAAGGAAGCGGTCTTCCTATACGCCTGCTGCATAAGTGAACGATAGCAGCAGGCCTTTCGTTTCACCTTCACATTGTGTAAAATTCTATATTTCAAACTTTATATTCTGTTCATAACAACCCGTGAATATCTGGGTTAGAATTGGTCTTCAGTAACCCAAGCTTATCATAAGAGGCGACTAACGGGATCAGGTGGTCAGGCTCGCTGACTTGAATGACACGTGTCATCGTATCCCATTTGTGTAGATTGATGCTCATGCTGTTGATCACTGGATTGTCTGGTCCAGACTTGTTTGTTTACAGACCACCGCCATATAGCTGGAATATTGCTGAGTGGGATATAAAACAACCAAGCAAACCTATTCATAACATATATATATATACCTAAGTGGCAATTACAATTTGAAGGAACATGTTGCTGATTAGCAGTTGAGATAAATGACCAAGAATAAGGTAAACAAGAAGATGAAATCATCACTATCTCAACTAGTTATGACTAAGTCAAATGTTACATTGTTCTTCAAACTGATCTAACGTAAACATCCATATGTAAACTATTCATATACTAGCATGCTAGTATCAACAACTGACTGCCTGGGTACTTCCACAGCTTGATGGACCTCAGTAATGTTGATACTGGCAATAGAGTGGTACTGTTGATTTATGTCATTAGGTTCTTGAATACCCACAAAGTGTACGGACAGAATCAAAAGGTTTTAAAGTTCTACCCCCAAAAAGGGCACTAACACCAATTTCAGTTGAAGTCAAACTTGTTGCCATGGAAATGCAAAACAATATTTTATTCAGAAATCTAAAACTATAACCACTATATGCCATTTTAAGTACAAGGTAAATATTTGACTGATATGATCCACAACAGTAGAGAGTATAATTCTGACATTTGTACACCTGAACTTTAGCAATGCACTTTGTTGATGGTCAGTTGAAGCATATAGATTCATATTGCTTCAGTGCAGTGAAGATGCAATACAACATCAAACGTTGCTTCACTGAAATGAACCATAAATACAATGAGTTCATTGAAGTGAATATCTCATTCATTGTTTGTGACAGTATGTACTTCTCTTCATTCAAATGATCCACAACAAGGTACTGCAGAGTATCTGTTGCTTGAGAATAAAGGCTGTAAGGTCTTTACCAAGAGTTTACACCTTTCAGTCAATATGGAAACATGATTTTCTTAGTGATGTTTAAAACTAAAAGTTGCAAAACCCTTCCCATATTCAGGGACCGCCTCCATGGTGTAGTGGTTAGAGCGTCCGCCCGCGGAGAGCGGAATGTCGCGGGTTCGATCCCCGACCGCGTCATACCAAAAGACGTTAAAATATGGTACTTGTTGGTCCCTGGTCGGCTCAGAGTCAGTATACTGTGTCTGAGTGGGGTATTCATGCTTAACTGCGGGCATGGTATCTCAGTGGCCTAGCACTACAAAACCAGCTTCAGTCTGGGCTAGTACAAGCAGCCGCACATACACATACACATGAATGCACATCGTCATATGAGTGAAATATTCTCAAGCACGACGTTAAACCCAATTTCACCTCACCTCCCATATTCAGGAGACATCTCTTTAAAGGCAGACCTGATGGTACAAACTAGACTGTATCATAAACATGTGTTTATGAATCCAAAACAATTTCAGTGGAATTATCTTTTCATGATCCAGATTTTGAAAGGGATTATATAGTTTCTAGCTTCGGAAAAGCAATACAAAGCAACAATAACAGCAGTTTTTACTTGTTCACCTCAAAAAGAAGATCACAGAACAGATAACTTTGAATAGACCTCAAATGACCCCTGTGACCAAAATTTTAACTAAAAAATAAATCTTTTTGTTTTCATGTGGCAAGACCTTGGCATTTCTAATCAGATTGTATCCATTACTCTTAAATTGTATGTCTTGCATGGAGAACATCTTGTCTAGTTTTATTCGATGTTAAAATGCAGCGGTGACTCTACAGAGACAACCCAAGACTTGGCATTACCAAATGGCTGCTACATGTATTCCATGTAATCCGAGTACAGTCAAACTGTCTCCCAGGGAAGCTGACATATCATCTTTTTATTACCTTTCCTTTGATTAGGGTCATCAGTTTTCATGTGTTACCATAGCAACGTTAATGGCGACCAACCAGAGATTACTAGTTTCTTGTTTCACTGTTTCGCCTGTATGTTACA